GAGAGGAAACTAGCAAACTTAATCAAATATGGAAAAGTGACCCACAGGGGAGGAGACCACGAGGGAGACCGAGGAAAAGCTGGACGGATGAAGTAAATAAAGATATGGCCAGGATGGAAGTCAACGAAGAAACCGCAAGAGACAGGGCGACGTGGAGGCAGTGTGTTGGTGAGGCCAAGTACCACTTGGGGTACAAATGGCCATGGGAGGAAGAGTAAGTAACTTTTCATGGAGGAAAATATCCAATAGGAAGTTCATTGATTCCTTGCCTAAGAGGTTGTATACTTATACACACCCACATACAGTTATGCCATACCAGTATATTCAATGCTTTGTTGTGATCGAAATGCTAAAAAAGATTACCCATGAGGTGGTGTACCATTGTATGTGAAAGACGGCATCGACTTTCAACTGTACCACTTACCTGACTTCATTGATCTTGGTATCGAGCATCTCTGTGTGGTGGTGAGTTTTAAAGGGAGTAAGTTTGGTATAAGTGTGGTTGGTTAGGCCTACGTCCCGCGAGCTCCCTCCAAGTCCCGCCACCTCCGAATTTCAAAGTGACCCTTATAATCCTTTGTTCCTAACTGCGTCAAGAATTTCCGTGTGGGCGAAGCCCCGCCTCCCTTACACCCCACCCCACCCTGGGGATTATAAGGGTCACTCAAGAATTCGGAAGTGGCGGGACAGATTTGGGTTCGGAGCTCACGGGACGCGGAGATAGCGGGAGCACACGATGTGGTTTATCGTCGTTCTTACATTGGGTACACTCGCCTTTCGAATCAGTTTCGCTCCCTTTTTATTGACCTTGCAGTTGAAGTTAAATCAGTGATTTATTTGGAGGATACTAATATTGATATGCTGTCACAAACCTGCGAAACAAATTACTTGCGTAGGCTGACGAGAGAATCCATTGAATCCAACACTATACAAATTGTCAACAAGCCTGCAAGAGTGACGGAAACCTCGACAAAATTGATTGACCACATCATAGGTGTTGACAAATCTGCCGAGATTGAAAGTGTTGGAGTCATAGAACCCCCAGCAGAGTTGACCATAGAGGAATGAGGATGACTGATCATAAACTAATATATTGTTGTATATCTTGTAAGAAAGACAAAAAGGGGTCGAAGCTAATCACATTTAGGTCTTAGATTTTTCAAAATTTAATGCAGATACTGCACTCAACATAATTGCTGATACTAACTGAAATTGTGTGTGCAAGCTAGAGTCTCCTGATAGAGCAATTTATTACTGATCATATAAAGAAAGTGTTTGATGAGGTTGCTCCTATTGTTTGTAAGAAGGTAACACGGAAAAAAGCTCCCTGGATAAATGAAACAATTAAAGAATTGTCAATTGTTAAAAATCAACACCGTAAACAATATTGGAGGACCAGTGATTCGTCAGACTGGCACGAGTATAAAACCATAAGAAATACAGTAGTTTGAATGGCATGATCCAAGAGGATAATAAAATATTCTTTTCTAACAAGCTTGCCTCATGTGCAAAACCTGCAGAGTTCTGGAATTGTTTGAAAGATTGTGAGATTGTAAGTAGTAAGAGAAATAGTAGGCACCCCCCCCCCCTCCCCCCGGTTTATAGATTAATAATAAGATAAATGAATTTGTCAATATGGGATCTGGAAAAGATATAGACATTGAATTGCTGAATAAACTTCAACAAGCTAAAAAACATGGAGATAACGATTTGAATTTCAAATGATTACAAAAAATTTTGTTAAAGAGGCAATAAACTCAATAAAATCAAAAGCTCTAGGTGTTGATAATATATCGCTGCTGATGATAAAATATGTTCGTCCATATGCAATAGGAGCAATAACACATTTGATAAATATGAGCCTAGCCTCTGGTGTTTTTCCTAAAAGTTGGAAGTTGCCCATGTGAAACCATTGCCTATGGTTGCTGCGCCAAAAACCGTCCAGCAGTTAAGACCTATCTTTGTGTACCTGCAATGTAAAAATAATGGAAAAGGTAGTAACTAAACAGATTGCTTTATTTCTAGATGATTTTGATATATTGCCTAAGCTACAGTAAGGTTTTAGAAAAAACCACAGTACTTGTACTGCACTGACTATGTTTGGGGAAGATCTATTTGATGCCAAAGATAAAGGCCTATACAGCACATTAGCTATTCTAGATTATTCCCAAGCATTTGACTCTATTGATCATGAATTGGTCAAAATTAAGTGCTATGGTTGCAGTGAAAAAGTTGTGTGTTGGTTTCGGTCCTATTTGGAGTCACGACTGCAGGTTACCAAAATTGGGAGTGAGACATCAGATCCGCTTTGCAAATTGTGTGGTGTTCCTCAAGGTAGTTGTTTAGGCCCTGTGCTGTTAAATTTATACACATCTGACTTGTCTAGAAGTGTAGAATATTGTACAGCACACTTGTATGCTGATGACTGCCAACTACACTTGTCATACAAGCCAGACCTGACATCAGAAGCAATCCGGCTCATCAATGCTGATTTGCACAACAGTTTTCAATGGTCTGTCATGAATGGCCTTGGATTGAATGTTGACAAGTGTGTCGCCATGCATACTGGACCAAACAATATGATGCAGGAATTGAGTAAATCTTCTAGCCTATAGAAGTCACCCTTGATGGCATGAGATTGTCTGTTTGCGACACTGTCACACTTGGTGTTGTACTTGACAAAGACCTCTCTTTTTCTGACCATGTCACATCTGCAGTTCAACGCAAAGTGGGTAGACTGAGACTGAGAGGTCTTTAAGCAGATTTAAAACTCTACTGCCAAAATATTCCTAAATGCAACTCATGCTGTCCGCCTTGGTCCTCCCAGCCTTTACATATTGCTTTCCTGCATATGGAAACAACATCTCTAAGGAGGATATGGGAAGAGTTCAATGAATTCAACATTCTGCCATAAGGTTCATTTTTGGCCTTAACAGCTTTGACGACGTGTCCTCCTTTCGAAATGTTGCAAAGCTCATCCCAATGGATGACATGTGCAGGAACCTGACCTGCTGCCTGGTCCACAAAGTGATCAAGCTGGGAGAGCCTCAGTACCTCAGCGAGAGGCTTAACAGGGGGGAGATCTGTCTGCGTGGTACTCGTTCCGACTGCAGGCTTCACTTTCCTAAAGTGAGGCTTGAGGTTGGAAGAAAGTCATTTTCTTATTTCGGTCCGCATTTGTATAATGGCCTCCCTCAGGACATAAAGAGCTCCAAATCATGTGGTTCATTCAGGGCCGCAATGAAAAAATACCCCCGCCGCAGCAAACCTGCAGACTAAGCGAATTTCCATTTGCCTGATTTGATTTTCAATTAAACCTATTCAAATAACATTAGGTTTAACGAGTACCTAGGTTTGCTGCCTACAGGGTAATAAAGTGTGTTTTTTAGTAAAATATTAATAGCTTAGTATAAAATAAATAGATTGGCCAAGTTTGATCCAAATATATGCATAAACAAGCAAACTACTTTTGGCTTCTAGGGACATCAAAATGAAAAAGTAAATCGGTCCCGGGACTAAGTCTTACCATGAGACCTACGGTAATAGCTTATTCCCTATAGGGAAATTCGCTGAAAATAAACAACTGTAAAACTGTATGGTAATTTGTTCCTAAAAACACAAACTGTAAGCCTATAACACTTAAGCCCGTTGTCTTAAATTGTCATCGTTATTTGAAGTCGAATGCCAATAAACCCTAAATTTGTCCTAGCTCATAAGAAAGATTATGCCTAGTTCAAACACAACTTCACTTACTGAATTTGCTAAAAAAAGGTCGGTACTCTTGCACAAACTATGAATGCAAAACTTAGATACCGTATCTGACTCCATTGTACCTACTATCGATTATCATTGTTACAATCAATAGGCTATAGAAAGTTAGGGTTTGAGTTAGTTTAGGTTTGGTTATCAATTGAATCGATAGGTCTACATTTATAGTTGGACAACTCGATGGAGTCGGATATCAAAGTTTTTCCGGATTAATTAGGCCTAAGTCGTAGTAAAACTTTTAAAAAGGCCTATAGCCTAAGTTATTCATTCAACTCCATAGTGATCCGTTGTGGTCAATTGCTACAATTGATAAAGAAGTTTGGTTTCGGTTTAACTTAGTTTGGTTATTGATTGAATTGATAGACCTACTTTAAAGATCAATACCGTACTACAGTGGAGCCGGATATCAAAGTTTCACCAAAGTCGCCTTAACTTAACTTAACAAGATGAAGTTTTCAGTACTGGATATTTTTTAATTAACTGGTGTTTAGTGCGGCTGCACTTTACTTTGGGTCCTACACTCATTCGAATGAAAATATCGATCAATATATCGATTAATCGATTGTTTCATTCGATATATCGTTTGGTTAGTTAAGTAAGGTTAACCTAACCTAACTAACCAAACGATATATCGAATGAAACAATTGAATAATCGAAATGAGTGTAGGACCTAAAGTAAAGTGCAGCCTTTAGTGCTTAGACAGACATTAGGCTAGTAGGTTAAATCGAAGTTTTATTCCAATATTTATTTGAAAGTTCAATACAGAAATTACTGTAAATAATGTACAAAGTTGTATTATTAATTATTTTATAACGTAATCTATCAGACTAGCTCTGTCAAAGAAGAAGAAATAAGTATACAAGTATTCAAAACCCTGAACAACTAAGTTAACAGAACCTCAAACCGATTTCTAACTCAGGCCAATGCAAATCCCCCAAGCTTTTCAACCCTACCAAATCAAAATTACCGCCATTTAACTTAAATGTTCTATAACGGGTTCAATCATAATACCATTAACTATTGGATTGATAGTCAAAGATAATACAAAGATAAGTATTAGTATAACTTAGTATAAGTTAAAAGGTTAAGTGCCTTTGCGGCACAAATTTGAGGTTAACTCAATCTGTCTGGGAAAGGAGCAAGAGGTAGGAATATAATAATAATTAGAATTAGTATCCCTTTGGTTCCACGTAAATTAATGACTAGATACAGAATATTGATGCAAACTTACCCATAACAAGTAAAATATCTAACTTAAAACACTTTTACAAAAGAATCAATTTTTTAAACTTGTAAACAAACCATAGGGATAGGAGTGTCGTCAGGGCAACCAGCAGAAAATAATGAAGTAGGTACGGTACATTGTTGCCAGCCCAGCACCTGAAACACTACCTTCTCATGCTAAGTACATGTAATAATGTATTGTTCAACATGGTTGAACCCGAATCCTGACAACCACTCTTTTGGTTATAAATTGTTAGAGTATGCTTGTATCCTATTATCAAACTCTAACCATGGATAAAAATTGTTTTATCTATGCTCTAACCAACACAAGTAGAAGACATCCCATGTAAATTGTGAAGCTTGTATGTCTAGTTCATGTTGGTGACACTAATCACTAGTGTCGAAGAAACTTTTTTTCTATTATTTTAAGGTTAATTTAATGATTTCTGCATTAGTGTTTATTTATATAACTATAGGACGAGTTATTGTTTATGATTAGATCGTTTTATTTGCTTAAACGAGGTTTTAAATTACTGAATAAATAACAAAAAAAAACAAATTGTAAACAAAACATGACCTCTACAGTGCACCGGACGAAACTAACAATAAACTTGTCTTCTGCTAATCCACAAAGATTTTTTTGTCTTTAACTCTTTATTTGCAACTGTTTTAAATATAAAAACAACGAGCAAATACAGAATATTAAAGCTTGGTTATTGGATTATGAAAATATTGACTCCAATTTTATATGTATAGAAATAGATTTTCGATTTATATTGTATATTGGTTTCCATTTCAATATGTTTTATTTTCAATCTTCTAATAAATTTATGTTTATACATTTAAATATATATGAAATAACACATGAATTAATGTGCTAGTGCACGGCCGCCTTTAACTCCATAATATTTAGCATAGATAAAACATACCTACTCCTCATAGATAAAACATATACTCCTTGAGGAGTATGTTTTCAAGTAGGGTTGTTTAGTGTCAGACGTCCCATAAGATAGCATGGCAGGCAGGTGAAATCAGTTCATTAATTCACACTTTATTGATTTAAATTTAAATGTAAATTACATACAGAATTGAAAATTAAAACCATATGAATTGCAAATCTATATCTGTACGGAGTCAATATTTTCATAGTCCAGAAACCAAGCTTTTGTAAACACACAATACCATTAGCTGCTTCCAAACAAAACAGCTGTTACAACCCTACTTGCGATGTTGCCACTTTGAAGGCCGCGGCCTGGGGCCCATTTCATAATAAACTACAAGTTACAACTTGTAATTTCCATTAGATTTGCATTGGGCGATCAGCTGATTTACTAATAATATTTAGTTTGTACTTTATTATGAAATGGGCCCCTGGTGTTAAAGGGGCCGTGATTTATACATCACTGGTTTTATATTGTTCATTCATGTGTACATTTTGATTTTTGTTATTTACATTATGTAATGTATTAATATTGTACTAGTGGTCGAAAACTCGGCCAAAAATATGTAATGTGCACTTGACTATAGGAGATTGAAGTAGACATTCGATCAATGGATCAGATGCCCCATTTTTTAAATTAAATAGCATGCATTTGAGTGAGTCTAAAATCGCATATTCTACCTCATTTTGCCTGTTGACAAAGTTGATTGGTCATAACAGTTAGTTGCTATAGCTCATATAATAAGTCATTACATAAGTTTGACTTGGTAAAAAAGATCGTTTAATCAACAGAAATTTTTCATTTTGATCAGCTCAATCTGTTGGAGGCTCACATCAACTACGACTAATTTCATTTAAAACTGCCCATTTCATAATAAAGTACAAACTAATATTATTAGTAAATCAGCTGATCGCCCAATGCAAATCTAATGGAAATTACAAGTTACAAGTTGTAACTTGTAACTTTTAGTTTATTATGAAACTGGCGACAACTTTAACATGGAGATGGAGTTTCTAGTTGTAAGTCAAAGTCAAATACAGGCTTCCCTTTTTTTTTAAATGAAATGAAAATCACATGAAAACATGTGATTGCAATTTCTCCTTTTTTATTTTCTGTTTATATTTCGTTATTTCGTCACCAGCATGGCAACCCATTAGGTCCATGTTAATTTTTCCAAAATGTTAATCTCATTTGTTGTGCTTATTTTTGAGCCTTAAAGGGATTCTGCACATCTACAGGAAAATATCTTTCCAATAGTATGCGTAGGCCTATTAATATATAGATAGATAATTTTTTATTATAGCTGTTTTAGGTTATATACCTGTAGCTATTGTAAATTGTGTATCAATGAATAAATAAATAAATAAATACAGTATATAGATTATCTGGTAAATTATCATAACACACTTCACGCTGGGGCTCCTCTAAGTGATTTTACAGTTTACACTAAGGCAATATTTGAATTGTTGCAGTGAAGGTGTCTAAACAGGAAGAGGAAGGGGGAGGTAGCTTTATTTACAAATTATTTATAGGTTTATAATAATGCCTGTTGAATCAATACCCAGATAGCAATTTTTTCCTGATTCAGTATTAAATCAAGGTTAAACTTTCAAAGATGCAAGCCTGAATTAATCTTAAAATATCAAGCCATCAAGCCTAATTCAGGGCTAATTCAAGGGTCCTACTGAACACTTGTGAAACCTGAATCAACCCTGAAAATTTTAGGTTGATTCAAGGTAAACGTTTCTGGCAGTAATGCATAATCAAGGCTGAATTGAGGTTGAATTAAGGTATAAGTATGTTTAAATTAAGGTAAAATCATGGTCAATTCAGGACTCATAACCTGAAAATTTAAGGTTAATTCAAGGTAAAGATTTTTGGCTGAAATCAAAATATATTGTTGAATTTGGGTTAAATAAAAGCATAATCATGATCAACTCAGTACATACAGTAACAAGTGATTGACTGACAAGGAATTTTACTTGACTTACGGCATTCTTACGGTCTTAAAGTAGTCCAATATTTTAATGTCCTAGTGGATAGCCTAGCTGTTTTGTCTTTGTGAACTCAAGAACTTTAATGATGCCTACTAAGCGCAGGGACAGCTATCTATTAGGACATCAAAATATTGGTTGCTTTATGGCAGTAAGTTAAGCCTTAAAATATTAAACGCAAGGTACATTACCTTAAGCTTTAATCTACGCAGAAAACTTTGGGTGGATACATAATTTGACCTTATAATCTATATTATAATACAGTTACCACTCACTCACTCATTGATCACTATTCCTCAAAAACTACCATGCATATGTACTCAGAACTTGGTGGCATGGAGGTTTCACTTAACCTCCATAATAGGTTTCACTTAATATGTACAAGAAGTAGCTTTGAGAGATTCCATCAGGGCTCTGGCTCACTGGCTTTAAAATTACAATGTTAACATATTTTTCTTTTGACAGAACTTTCGTTTAATTGTATTAGCTACCAAACCGCTGTTAGGAAAATTCTAAGCAAAACCAATGCAAAACAACTGTTTGTAGCAAAGAAAATTTTTCAATTCTGTTGTGAAGCCCAAGGGGAGGGGCAGCTAGAAACCTATAAATGATGCTATAACACTTTATTTAAATGTTGTATAGGATAACTGAGTTAGGTTAAAAATAATAAGCCTATTCTGCCAAGCTTGTGAGTGAAGGGTGAGAGCATTTAATTTTTAATAAGGCCTCATCAAATTACACCAGACCCTGCTTTAGAAAAGACATCTCAGTGATCAACAAAAAGTTTAAAAGTTCAAAACAGTTCTTCAAACATAGCCAAAATATCACTATTTGTGGGGGTATAAATAAAATGTAGCAAGTGACATTGGTTATAGTAAATTTATTTTATGAAAATATAAAGTATAAAACAAACTTGAAAATTAGAACATGAGTTAAATTAAGTGACATTTTACTTATACATTATTTACTGTCGCATAACCTCAGCCTGATGTTCCTATTCTGTGCACCAATAACTCCTCTTTTCCTGCAACAAAAAAAAATCATAAAGTATCGACTAAGGGAGTATGTTTTATCTAATTTTTTTTAAATTTTTTCTGTACATGTAATCTGCTTGAGTTAAAAATTTCAGCATGGTTTTCCAGTTCACTAAGTAATTTTTTACTTGAATTGTTTTGACTGTGATTAAAGCTGAAACTGTGAGCAAACATTTATTAATATAGTTATTTGTGTGACAAAACGGCACGGAGACGGCTGGACACTAAATCAAGTAAATAGGGGGCCCGGGATCGCTGAGCCCAGGGGCCCATGATGGCTCTCTCCGGCCCTGATTATCATTGACATTATCAATAGTCTAAAAAATTGGGGAGCGAGCAGGTCTAGTGGTTAGAGCGCGGTCATTCCGGTTCCTGGGGTCCAGGGTTCAAATCCCGCCAAATCACCAATGGATTTTAACTAAGTGATAATGCCGTAACCCCTAGGTCTAGCCTGAAGTAATGTGAAAAACAATCCCGGGCTCCAGCCTAGCGTACGGGGACAAAAAGTCTAAAAAATTGTTGAAACACACAGCGAAATGTAGGTACATGTCAGCTACACAGAGCTGCAAATTGTGTCATTCTGTTCACAAATGATACCAGCAAGTGGCGAGGAGCCTTGCTGCAGCGTACTTAAGCGAATTATGGATTTATACGCAGAAACTGGCTCTTACTTGAAAAACCACCCTTGTATGTTCCTTATACTAATAAACCAAATTAACAAACCCGAGACTTGTTATTAGAATTCTAAAACCCGTTGTTGCAACAGTTTAAACGAGTAGGTAGTTTTATCGAATTGGCCAGGGTAGAGTACTCGTCTGTCCTACAGTTATTCTAAAAGTTAGGCAAAATTTGCAATAACATTTTAACAAAGGCGAGGATGATATTGCTCTCCTCCTGGGCGTCTGCAGGATCTTTTGAGCGCTTCTAGAGCTCTGAACCTTAGATTAAATTAAAATAATTAATCAGTCAAAACCGTGAATCCTTCTCAGCACCCCGGGGAAGAAATTTGAGCGTGGCTGGTACTAGGGGTAGGCTGCTCAGTAAATACAATCTTATTCGCCCCTCATAATTTACGTCACATGCTTTTTACACTTTGGATCTTAGAAAAAATGTAAGTTAATGGGATATTTTAAGTAGGCTACCTATTGAGTTTTTCCATGCACGAAAACACTAAGAATGCTCTAGTTTTTAACCTTGGTGAACCCGTCATCGGCCACTGATGCCATGTCTTGTCATCACGGCCTGTGTCGAACTACAGGGAGTGTCGAACTATCGAGGTTCTACTGTAACAACAAAAGTAAACCTTATGAAATAAACAGTTCTATAACTAATATGCTCTACAAACCTTTTAGGTACTGGCCCTAAATTTGGCTTGTCACAGCCATGCACGGATGCAGTTTTTTTTTTTTACTTTCAATTCAGTGGCTTCAGCCAACAGTCTCTTGGCTACAACTGAAACAGTTTAAGTGAAACGCCTCATAATAGATAACAATAACAAAAGAATTTGTTATACAAATCTATATAAAGCTCAAATACCACTGACTCATTCATTCACTCACTCATCACGAAATCTCAGTTTAAACCATAAGACCTAGGAACCTGAATCTTGGCAGGCATCATCCTTTTGGGTAGTAGACTATCACTAAGAAAGGATTTTACCCTCCGACCTCTGGGCTCCGCCCCAGTGGCTCTGGAGTTTCCCATGTTAACCTTATAAAAAATGGAATTAATGAATCTTAACAGCTGTTTCAATTAAACAAGTTGGTTCTGTTCTATGATGTTTAATAGCATTAAAGTTACAAGGATTACCAACAGGGTGCAGCACTATTATTTCTTTTACATTTATGACAACAGCTAATTTGCAACCAAAAGGTGAGTGAGCGTAGCGAACGAACTTCAACCTGGAGGCGAGTTAGAGTAGCGAACGAGCTAACCTGAAGGCAAGTGAGCGCAGCGAACGAGCTCCAATCTAAAGGTGAGTGAGCGTAGCGAACGAGCTCCAATCTAAAGGTGAGTGAGCGTAGCGAACAAACTTCAACCAGGACGTTATTGAGCCATGCGAACGAGATCATCTTGAAAATTAAGAAGTTAAACGGGGCAAAGCCCGCGGGTTACAGCTAGTATTGGAAGAAAAATACAAAACAATCAGCTTTTAGAGAGAATATGCCATGTATTTGTATTTAACAAACTAGCTTTGACAATCTCACTTCTGTAGTCAAGTACAGAATAGACATAATTGGTCAGTGTGTGTTTTCAGGGGTGTACAGTGGGATTTACCAAATGAATCAAGTACAAAAAATTTAGTTTAGACTCGTTCAATGGTCTTGCCTCTCCGTTCAACCTGAAATTCTGGCTAAATTAAGCAAGATGGAAAAAGAAGTAAACCATAAGTCTGGCATTAATTTTTTTTAAACAACTTTCTTCCAAGTGAATTTTTGTTTGACCAACAAACGAAAGTTTTAGTAAGTTTAACCTACTAACTTTCTTACTCTAAGGTTTTAATAATATTAAGTTATGATTTAGGCTATTAATATTTTTTGTTTTAAATTACAAATCATCAATAAAATTTAAAAACTATAGGCCTACAAATGGTAAGGTTTATTTAAAGCAGAAAATTTTAGAATTTTTCCAAAATTGTTAATACCGGTACCGTAAGTTAAATTGCAGCACACAGACCAAGTTATTCATAATAATGTCTAAATTACAGTTCTAAATTCTGCAAATTTCGATGCAAAGCAAGATGGCAACTCATCTTGTAACGTTTGTTCAAACGGCAAGCCACTTGTTTTAAATCTGTGTTCGCTGAAGCTAATTAGTTAATTTGAAAAATAACACAGCAGCCTAGCTAACCTTGTTACAATAACTTTACAACTTACAGCATGGGCAATATACATCTTTAGTAACTTAAATAGGCACAAGTTACCAGGATATGATTTAAAGTTAACAGCTACATAAAACCAAAATGGCAGGTCTCCAGTCAAGTGACATTTTGTAGAAGGTTGTTTTAAATTAGTTCATTACGGTAGCCTACCTTTACTTAGTTTAATCAATGGGTATGGCGTACAAAACTTAAAATCTTTGAGAGATGCTAATCTTAACCCATCTTAACGTTTGCCGAAAAACCCTAGCATCAGGACATGGGACTAGGATAAGCCCTTAGACCTAGGCTACAGTACCAAGTCTATAACTTAAGACATAGGCCTAAGCTAAATTAAAATATTTTTCTATAGGCCTAGGTCTATTTATCCAATCCATCGAAAATCATTTCTTCATTCTTAAATGAAACTTCATAACTTCGGCCTATGATAACTTAAGACAATCTACGCTGATAAAAAACTGCATCATTAAGTTACATATTGGCTTGTGTGTTCATAATATTGTAGCCCACCGGATTTGGCAAAAATAAGTAACTAGGTCTTGAACAATTCCAGATACAATATTCCAACGGATCACAATACTTTCTAGGCCAACTATAAAACAATTCACCAGTCATGAGGCCTAGGGCAAGCACAGGCCTAGAATTATTCTGGATCCTAGTCCAAATTTGGCAGTTTATTGTTGTAAGATAATTTTCAGAGCATTTGTAACTTGAGGTTCTAATGTCAGTATGATTAGCATTCTAACACACATATCTTATCATAAGAATGGAAAAAATATTATGAATACAATGAAAAGATTAGCTGACTCACCTTTATGTTTCGTTGGCTCACAAGCACTTTTGTTGCAGTTAGTCTTCTAAAATCGAACACTATGGAATTAACTATGAACAAAGAAATTAAAAATTGACAAAAACTAACTTCAATATGAATACTTTATGTCTAAAAACTCTGATATAGTAATAACGCGAGAAACAAACGTCGCAAAAAGACAAACTGACAAGACACACAAAGACAAAGACAAAGAGGTTAGGATTGTTTAGGGGTGGATCCTGGCGTCTGGTCTGGCTGGCGTCGCTTGGTCGAACTGCATCATGGGAATTCGCGCTGTTGTTTTGTTGACTCTGTTTCAGGGCGGAATCTATGAACTCAAAAAGGGCAGTATTTTGTTGTCCTTGAATCCAGCCACAATGTTCCTAATATTTGCAACCTTGAATTGTGAATGCAAATTGTAGGGAAAAGTTTACCTTGAATCAAGGGTCCTTGCTATCTGGGATAGAAGGTATTAATAAATAATTAATATTTTGGCACTAATGGTTATCAACATTTAAGTTTATACAAAATATAAGTGTAGACAACACAACAAAATAAATTGAACTACACTTTTAACTGAAAAAACAGTCAGGATCATCAGGATCTTCATTCTCCGTCACACTTCTTGAATCAGTTACTTCACTTCCTACTTTTCTTGACAGCTTTTTTGTTCTTGCAGCCATCATTTCTGGACCCGGCAAAGACACTAACAGTTTTATCAAATGTATTTTTGATTCAGGTAATCTTTGATCAGCACACATCCTGTAAAAGAAATATTGTTAAGAGCACAAGATTAAGAATGTTACTAAATAGTTATTTGTGTAACTAGAGTGTGAAGTGACACTTTGCTGCACACGAGAGAAATGTTAAGGCACGAGACGCAGGTGAGTGTAGAAAGTTTCTCGAGTGCAGCAAAGCCAATTTACACTTGCTTTAAACATTGTATTTTTCCTACAGTAACTATAAAGCATATAGATAGTTAGTCTTTTAAACACTATACACAACACGTTTTTAAAAAGGTTAAATGCAAACGTTGAACAAAATGGGAAACGCTGTACCAGCTGATCTTAGTACCTTTAAGTGTTGATAACTTATTTTCAAGCGTACACGTATTACATGCCTAATAAAAGCAACAACAATTCTCTTGATTATTCCAACCCATGGGCAACCATGAAATTTATAAAGAAATTGGAGTGAGAAGGTGAGTTAGAAAGGGTACGATAAATATTATTAATACAATAAGGGAGTTGTTATTTTTCTTTAAACCACTGAACTTAAAATCATGTTAGTAAAAACTAGCTTAGTGAGGTTTCCAGCAGGCTTCAGTAAGCACATTCCTGTGTCAGAATCATATTTGGCCTTAGAGGATTTGACCATGTTACACCATATTTCAACTTACTTTCACTAAATGAAGTAAAAATAAACTCTTATAATTTCACACCTTCCGTCTTGTGATTCCATTATTAATAATGAAATACCAAAATATTTCTTTGATAGCTTTAATTTCATTTCTGACAAACACATCTGTGCCACTCGTAAGTTCTTATCTTTTATCTTCACACATTCACCGCTCAACAACTTATAGTAAATCGTTCTTGGTATCTTCAAGAATTCTCTTCCTGATCACATAAAAAAGCCATAGAAAACCGTGCAAGGTTTGAGGCAGAGATCAAATTCATTATTTTGAGTACTGTGAGTCTCTGGTACTGCTGTAAAGGGTTGGTTATGGGGCTTGTGTGAATGATTCTATTTAGGGTTATTCTACTGAATTTCATAATTTTTGTAAGTTTATAGTATGTTACTTTGAATATGATTTGTTTATAATATTAGTACTAAAAGAAATACGTTAATTTATGTTTTAGACGTTAAAGACACTTTTAAATTTCAATTTTAATTTTAATTTCATTTCATTTACATGGTTTGTGTGAAGAAGAATAGATTTATCTAATTGTCAAAATTGTATCTTAAGAAGTACCCAAGGTTAGCAGACCAAGTAAAAGCTGAAGAGATAAGTAATAAAGAACATCACAGACTGGGAATCAAAATAGAATATGGAAAAGTTAGATGAGAATTCAGAATTGAGCTTTTAATTTAATCTCTTGGGGTTTCAGTGGCCACACAAGTTAAGCAAGGTACAAGTTTCTAAGTTATAAACAAATAGCATAGCGAGTAAGAAAATAAGTAAAAATACTGTATCTAAAATTGATGACACACGTTTAATGAACTTTATCCTTGCCCACGAGTTAACATGTTTACATGTTGATACTTGTACACAAATATCTATACAACACTTACTCAAGAAACTCGTCAAGAAGCTTCTGATTACTGCAATCTTCATTGAGAAATAAAACCACAGCACTCTGTAACAAAAACGAACAATGAGGACAAAAAATTCATACAGAAAAAAATGAAATCCATACTATTATAAAATTGAGGTGATGTCTGTTTGTCTGTGCGGCTGCAACGACTAAAATACTAAACCGATACAGCCACAATTAAACACACCGATAGTCTACATATCTAAGAATGTCATAGGCCTATTCCCTTCCCTGAGTTCCTCTCAGGCTGTGCCCCTTGGATGTCCACAGTTTGAGGTGAGGTTTTCAAAAGTAAATATTAATTGGTCTCCATGGGAGCATGAGAAAATTCACAACTTTTTTTTTTACCTTTGTGTTGACATTTCAATGTAAACAATCAGAACTGTTGAATGCTTATTTGCCAATTTCAGACAGCTGATCCAAACAAATTAAATAATAGCTATTTACATTACAAGTGTAGTAAGAGCGTTTTTACATCACGCAGGTGAATGTTGTGCAATGAGCGGAAGCGAGTTGCATAATTCTCCTAAGTGATGTAAACAAGCTCTTGCGTAATGTGTAACGTACAAGATTTTACCTGACCCGACAATATACAGGAGGTTACGAACAATATTTTTCATTATCCATTTCACTCATCTTCTATCAATAACGTTCATTTACAAACAAAAGCTAGGTTAGGAATGTTAGGAAAATTTTCAAAGCATAACAATATAATTCAAGCGCACAGCTGATTTCTAGCGTTGAATGTCGTTGGCTCCATAGAGGTATATTTTTTAAGTTAAGCGCTCAATGTTATCTAAATGGGTTTCATTACCCATTGTTGTGTTTCCAAGTAAAAATATCCTGTATTTTATTGTAATTAATAAAAACAGTTCACTCAAAAACAAACCAGTTTATATATTGTAGATTTACACCCCGTTCTGTATATTGTGGGACATGAAAAATATTGTACGTAGCCCCTTATATATTGTTGGATCAGGTAAAATCTTGTACGTAACATAGCTGAGTTATGGTGATGTAAAAACGCTCTTACTACACTTGTAACGTAAATAGCTACTACACAACTATTTATAAAACTAGGCTATGTCATTGATAATGGAATTAAAGAAAAATTCTATAAATTCTATCATTGTAAGTTATGACAATTAAGTTATTGATACATTTTAATTTTAAGAGTGAGACAATTCAATGTAGGTCATACTTTTTTGTATAAACTTTGTGTCTTTTTTTTATAAATTCGAACTACTTAACAAGTGTTTGGATTAGGCGGTATAGAACATCTTCCTGTTACAAAGCACACGTACAGAAGATAGTTGTAACTAATTTTCTGATTTAATTTGCTAATTTCAAGAGTACTTATATCCCAAAATCCATAACTTAACACATTGGCTACCCCCAATGTACTTTGTATAAGCCCTCAGATACAAAGAGTGTGACAATTTTTCAATCTTTGTGACGTCACCGTTATTATAATTGTCATGGTTTTTTTTGTCTTGTCTGTCAAATATATTTATATTTTTGCTCGTTACTGTTATTATATTAAAATATTTATCAATTGTTATCTAGATTTGGTTACTGGTATTGTTATTTTTCTGAAAATATTTATGCATGTTACTATTGTCTAGCAATTAAGATGAATCTGTATCTGGCTTATATATGTTTAGAAGTATTTATCTTGTAACTTGAATCTCATGTATCATTGACTGTAAAAATGGTGTTTGCCGTATAAATAAATAAATAAATAAATTGGTACTGAATGTATTAAAAATATTTTGCTCTACTGTGATAAAAAAATCTTTAGTTTTAGATGCATAATTAAATAAACTAGGTAGCGTGTGAGACGAAGTCGAGTACGGGATTACCATACGAGTCCGGTAGGTAAACACATTTTGGAGGTGTGACATACAATATTTTACACCATACTAATAAATCTGTACAAATCCTTAAGTTATATAGCCTATTGCCTTTGACTTGAGGATTAACAAGCAATAGTCATAACCTTTGACAGAGGTTAAGTATGTTTTGGTTATAAGTTAACCACTCATTGCCAAATGCCTTATAATTAGCTGGTTGGTGCCTTATAACCACCACAGTACAGTGAAACCCTATTTGATCAAGCTGGTGGCAAACGGCTGTTTCTGGACTGTTTCCTTGTGTGGTAAGTTCGTCAAAACAGTGTAGTTAGTGTAATTTAAACGTTACTTATACAGGAATGGAGGTCGCACTTTTTTGTTTAGAATTATAAGTACCATAACAGAGAAATTTTAATCTAAATATTTTTTTTCCATTTTCCCGTTTTTTATGGGAAAATAAACATAGGCTAAGTTACAATTACTTTTGAACCACAATTTTTACAGCAATGGGGGGTTGCAATATGTTGTTGAGAATTATAAGGATTGTCACATGGAAGGCTTCATATTTCAATAAAAACCGGCTTTTTTCAAAAATATGATTTTCTCTTATTTAAAAGGTTTTTTTTTTAATAAGTTAACATAGACTAATTTACAATATAGCTTTTTAATCATATCTTTTTACAGAAATGGGGGTTAACTTATAACATTTTGCTCAGAATTTAAAGGGCTACAACATTGCCTACTAAGCTTTTATCAAAATCGTTCAGGCCATTTTTGAGAAACTTCAATTTTAGCGTAATTTTATGGGTTTTTATGGGAAAATCAACATTAATAATGAAAATTTCAAAAAAATAATTAACACCCGGAGATAGCCTACCAAAAATTTACAAACGACGTGTCAAAATAAAGTAGTTTTTGTGTAGACGCCCCCTTTCACCAATTCCTGTAATAAAAATCCTCGGGCTTTGCTCCACAGGCCATCAAAGTTGGAGTTTCTACCATAAGATTAACATGGGGGAATCAGAATATTGAATTGGAAACTTTGTCCCCACTAATTTGAGAGAACGGCTGGGGGTAGAAACTTGGTAGAGGTGTCCAAAGAAAGGTCTTGGTCTGTAGATGAGTTATCAAAAGAAAAACGAAGCAAAACCCCTTAGGACTCTACCCCAGAACCCTTTTTAAGATCCCTCCACAGAGTTGTTTACATTTTGGCCATGTGAATAATAATTTTTAATGAAACAGCTGTTCAATTTAAATTGTACTAGAGGTCGTCCAGTGGTCGAAACTCGACCAAAAATATGTAATGTACAGACTCTCTATTTTCACCTCACACTGTAAATAAAACATGTGATTGGAGTTTCTTCCATTTGTTTTGATTTTCTGTTTATATTTAGTTGTTATTTCGTCACCAGCATGGCAACAGATAAGATCCATGTTAATTTTTTCAACATTTTAAACTCATTTCTTGTGCTTATTTTTGAGCCTATTTTAATTTATAAAGGTATTCTGCACATCTACAGGAAAATATCTTTCCAACAGTATGCGTAGATTTTCCCTGCGATGCACACGAGCTGAGAAAAAAGGTTTTAAAGAAACATGCTTGCCTATTAATATATAGATAGATAAAATAAATACATGTAAATATTGCTGCATATTATTCAGATGATATATGTTCTCAAATCATTATTTTTTTTAAATCATAAATCATTAGAACTTGCACAACAATGACAAATAATGAAACCAAACCAAAATTAACCAAACTTGATCTTCACACAGAGAAGTTAAATCTCGTTTAATAATTACCTCTCAATTAACAAATAGGCTATCTAAATGTTACTACTGTGTGTGGCAAGTTTGATGACAGTTCTTGAACCAAAGGTACAATCAGTCTTAGATCACCAGAGAAGAGCAATTATCGTCCTCCAATTTCTTCTGCCATTTCCATTTGTATCACTTTTGATTAAATATTTTAACACTATTCCTGAGTAGATATGCCTACAAAACTGAATTCCAGCAACTGCCACATACCACATGTCACACCATTGCTTATTACAAACTATTTACAGGCAAGCTATTGTGCAGAATGTAAAATAACAACCACTGTTTCTCACCCTCCACAGTATGGGCAGGTCTGGCTTGGTAGCTCTGTGAAGAAGCCACTCTAGTAATTTAGCAGCCGCTGGATAGTTATTTGTCAAGAAGCTCACACGCAGCTCTTCTAGAACTTGTCTGTTGAAGCTACCTACAAAGTAATGAATAAGAGATATAAATATAAGCTTTAACAATAATTATTGGAAACAAAAAATTATCATGTATTGAATTTTTTAACAAACTTTTTTTAATAAGGTAGCGTTTTAAAGAAAAAAATACAAACATGCTTAACACATCTTCAATCGTCTTGAAAAACATCAAACCATGTATTGTTAGATTTATACCAAACCATAGTACACCACAGTACTTGAAACAAAACATTAAGGTGTTTCTTTCTACTTTGAAAAGCATAAAATTACATTTAGTTTTAGCTGAGCTTTAACCTGACGCAATCATGTCTACATAAAAAAATCGTAATGATAATGACAAAGACTGACAGTGTTAATAACTGCCATTGTTAATGTTCTGCAGACTTGTCCAGCTTGCCAATGATTGGCGTCCAACCTAGTACTGTGGGATTTTCAGTTTCTAGGTTACTGTGCTGCTGATCATTCTTACATTAAATTAATAGTTAATAATTATTTCAAATATTAATTTCAACAAACCACAAATCAGGCATACTTGCTATTTCAATTTTATTCCAACAAAAACATACTATTATAAAGTAATTATTGTTTCCAACTAAAAATACAATATATATATATATATATATTTAGTCCTAAAACGACCTCGGACAACCTGAGGACTTGGATAACCGGAGTTTCTATAATCAAGAGTGTACTGTATATACACAAGTGAGAAAATGTCTGACCGTCGCCAGAGAATATGTCCGCTGCAGCACAGAGGTTGTGGGCTTGTAGACATGGCAGCTGACATTCCCTCACAGCCTTCCGTCCACCAAAATGTGCCTCCTTGGAAGACTCATCATCTTCCAACAACGCAATGGCTTTTTTCTGTCGAAGAATACAGCTGATTAAGATTACATTTCAAAAGAAAGCAGCAGTTGGCTGATAAAAAGATTTTCTGAAAAGTGATAACATTCAGGTTTATTTGAGGAAATTAGGGCCGAGAGAGGCTAAGGGGTCATATATTAGAAGGAAATATCAGTGCTGCACGACCTTTTATTGCGTATTTTTTAATCCAAAAAGTAAAAGGAAAAATGAGTAATCTACTACAATATTGCTTTAAAGAAGAAACTACAAAATGCAAATAAGACTATTGCTGTTATCTGAGAAATTATAAAGAATTATACTAAAATCAATTTTTTTTACATAGCAACTAGACCTATATATTATGTAAAGTTTTTGTTTAAATGGTCCTAGATGTGTGTAGTATTCTCAAATTGTATGTTATAGTATTTATAATTCTTTTTAAATTTGAGAAAACGTAAGGAAAAGGCTAGAAAAGGTACTAAAAAAATAGCAAATATCTTCAAATAAAAGTAAGTTCCAGATCTAGACAATACGGTTTCAACTTACCAAACTCTTTTTTGTTATGATCACTGAGCCATCATCCACATCACTTTCAGAAGATTCAGCCATTATTTACTGATCAGGAGAATCACCATTAATCTGTAATAGGAAACATGTTAGTTGTTTACACAGTATGGTCTTGATTATCCAAACCAAGTTGGTCGCGGCAACATCGCGTATGCAGAAAGTTTTTCGATACAGGGAATATTAAAGTATAACTATAAACATGTCAAAAACCATTAAGACAAAATCGCTACCGATTTTCACATATATGGGATGCTGCGGTTGTTGCCACAAACCGAGGTATACAGTTTAATATCACACATAGACCGGGTGTTTCACTTGGTTAACAGTAAACACAGACTACGGGCCAGTGATGCAGCAAATTAAAAAATATTTTTGCCAACTATCATATAACATCAATAATCATCATATCCACAGACCAAGTGACCCACATATGCGACAGACATCCCTGTAGACCACTGCAGAGAATTCAGGGCCTTCAAATAGACCATTACGAAGATATAAGCTTTTTAATAACATTGGGACACCGACGCAAATATGCGACGTCAGTCTATGGGTAGAAACCGGCTGTCGCAAATGTGCGTCGCTGGTCCATATGAATGAAAAATTAGTACTATTGTGGTAGTGAATGAGTTAAATCAATACAGTTTGTTCATTATCAAACCTACTCGTAAAGGGTAGCAATAGGTATCCAAGTAAGAGGAGTTAACATATTGTGTACTATAGGCTAACATTCATGTAGTACAGTCAAGTACAGATGCCTAAAGACTAGAGAATTTCACAAACAAGGGCGGCAAAAGGAGATGTCTCAATCAACTCGCTGCGGTATTCAGTCATATTAAACTAAAGTAGTACGCGATTAACGTCCACGATCGCCTGCAGTGAAGTTCAGGCAGCTGAAGATCAGATGAGTGAGACTTTTCAGATAAAGATGCAACAAATGGAGAGTGTATAGTTTTGACATAGGTAAATTTTTACATCTATAGTACCAGTAATGTCCAAACTGGCAAAGTATATACATTTCTCAAGGGATATGTATCATCTGGGTGTGTATTGAGGTAAAGTTTGGGCTTATTTTCTTTAAATGCTAATAAAATTGATTACTTTTAATTGTTGGGTAGTCCACACATTCAATTCTGAAAATATCTTGATACCTCCACGTTTACCATCATCAAAATTTAAGCTTTTATGTTGAGGGTGACTTGATTGTTCTCTTAAATAAATATCAAATCTAACAATTAATTTACTACTAGTGTACCTGTTGCTTGAATTTGAGCAATTGCCAAGTATTACAGGTGTTATTTTAAAACGAATAACAGTCATAATTTCTGATGACTTGATCTGAAGACTTGACTCAAAGATTTTGGAAATACTTAAGATGTACATAACAAATCGATATAATCAACATTTCTTGTAAAAAGTGTTTTCTACAAATAGCCTTACTCATAGTCGCATTAGGTTGTCCGTAATAACGATTATAAATTAAAAAAAAAAATATGTATATTATTTCTATTTCTTCTCCTTGGTGGTGTTCTATGACTTTCCTATGTTTCCATAGTTTGTAAATCGGCTATTTCAATGATTACTACGAAATGCAGCACTGAGCACAGTGTTAATTCAGTTTTCTTTTTAGTATATAAGATTATCCAGTATCAAGTCCTTAAATTATATAATAAACATGATACAAGAGAATGTACACCCTATTTTATTCAACCATTTTGACTGAATGAAAAATATATAAACACAAACATAAACATTATAAAACAATAACATAAACCATGTGTTAAGAAATCATATGTTGTTGACAAATCTTTATTAATCCTCCCCCTCAAATTTACACGGCCGAATGTGGTTAATGTGCCTTCTCCAAACCTGCCCACCGTCCATCTCGATTTGATAATGCACCAATCCTTCTCTCCTTGTTATGTTTCCAAATTTCCACTTTCCGTCTTTTCCGAAATTGCGCACCTGAACCCTGTCCCCCACCCGAAACTCTCTTTTCATTTTTGTACATCCGTCGGGCATTTCTGTGTGATCTTGGGGTTTCTTCATAAGATCCAGCCTTGTCCTTATTCGTCTCCCAAACATAAGTTCATATGCCGAGGACCCTGTAGCATTTGTGGCATTCCTTAGTGACATTAGGATGTGATTTATTTTGAAGTGCAAATCTCCTCCATCATTCTCCATTGCTATTAACTGTTTCTTTACAGTCTGAACAAATCTCTCTGCTTGTCCGTTGGTTGCAGGGTGATAGGGGGCAGAGAATTTGTGTGTGACGCCACAAGCTTGTAGGAATTGGTTGAAGATAGATGATGTGAAGTTAGGACCATTGTCAGAGACTAACGTGAACGGGTAACCAAAGGTAGAGAAAAGTTTCCTCAGCTGTTGAATGCACCAATTAGATGTTGTAGTTTTGGTTGGTATGACTTCAACCCACTTTGAATAGGCGTCAACGATAATAAAAAGGTATTGCCCATAAATTGGACCTGCAAAGTCGATGTGTATTCGTTGCCAAGGTCCTGATGGAACCAGCCAAGGATGGACATCTACTTTTTCAGGAAGATTCTGCTTCAAACAACATGGACGACAAGACTTTGCTAGATCTTCTATGTTACGGTCAATGTGTTTCCAGTAACAAAAACTTCTTGCAAGATTTTTCATTTTCACAACTCCTAAGTGTCCTAAATGAAGTTCATTGAGTACTTTTCCTTGCAGTTTTTCAGGAATTACTACTCTGGAACCACGAAAAATGCAGCCATCATGAAGTGAATACTCATTATTCTTCAAGCCAATATGTTCTAAATCAGTACCATCTTGAAGTGCTTTCAAAAGAGGTTTTAGGTCATTGTCGTTTGATGTTTCATTTGCAATATTTTCATGTGTTACAGGCATTGATTCAATTTGGTTAATGAAAAAGGCTTCATGTTGATCAATTTGATTTGTCGGTGGATGTTCATTAGGAAAGCGAGACATGTAGTCGGCATTACCATGTAATTTGGTGTTCCTATATTCAATAGTATAATCGAAGCCAGAGAGGAAGTGAGCGTAATTGAAAATACGTGTGGCAGTCATAGTAGGTAAGGTTCTGTATGGGTCAAAAATTGAAACAAGTGGCTTATGATCTGTTACAAGGATAAACTTTCTTCCATAACAATATTGATAGAACTTCTTCAGTCCCCAGTAAATCGCCAGTGCCTCTTTGTCTATCTGACTGTACTTTTTCTCACTTGCAGTGAGAGATCGAGAAGCGAATGAAATTGGCCGTTCAGTACCATCTTTGTAGCGGTGGGAAAGAACAATTCCCAATCCAACTGGAGAAGCGTCCGTGGCTAGCACTAAGGTTTCATTTTCATCAAAATGAGCAAGGACCCGGTCACTAGCTATCTCAGCCTTAACTTTTTCAACGCATTTATCACATTCTCTGGTCCAAACGAACTTAGTGTGCGCCTTTAATAGATTGTGTAGTGGATTCAAGATTGTGTTCAAGTTGGGGATAAATTTCTGGTAGTAATTGGTCAAGCCCAGGAATGTTCGTAGCTCTGACACATTTGACGGTTTTGGTGATTTTAAGATTGCTTCCACTTTGTCCTTATTCTTGTGTAGACCATTTTGATCTATAGTATGTCCAAGGTAATCAATTTGTGTTTGAAAAAACTTGCATTTGTCTTTATTTAGTTTGAGGTTGTGTCTCCTGATGACTTTCAAAACACTTTCTAGCCTTGTTAGGGCCTCAGACTCAGTCGAACCTTGAATAATAATATCGTCAAAAAAACACTGAACGCCATCAATTCCAGAAAGTATTTTGTCCATAAACCCTTGCCATAGGGCCGGAGCAGTCTTAATTCCGAACATGAGTCGATTTACCTTATACTGTCCTTTATGTGTACTGATTGTTTGAAGTAGCGCACTTTCTTGGTCCATTGCCATGTGTAAATAAGCGTTACTGATGTCTAGTGTACAAAAGTACTTACCTCCACTCATTTTTTGCAAAAATGTCCTCGATACGTGGAATAGGGTACTTGATGTCCTTAATTTGTTTATTTAAAGTCACTTTGAAATCTGCACAGATTCTGACCTTGCCGCTGGGTTTCACGACTGGAACGATTGGAGTTCCCCAATCACTTTGTTCGACCTTCGAGATGATTCCTATTTTTTCCAATCTGTCCAGTTCTTCTTCAACTTTAGGTCTTAAAGCATATGGCACTAAACGAGGTTTCATGTAAACCGGTTTGGCATCTTCAAGTAGTTGTATATGTCCTTCTACCTCGGGAATAACACCAATATTTTGATCAAATACATCCTTGTAATTCTCAATCAGTCTATCGATATCTGCATGCGTGTGAGAACTTGTAATACTCCTAAGGTCAGCCCAATCTAGTTTAACTTCCCTTATCCAATCACGTCCAAAGATAGGATCGACCTTCCTGTTGATTACGTATAGTTTACCAATGAAATTGTGATCTTTGTACGTGCATTTCACAAATACATATCCAACAGGCTCAAAAACCTCCCCAGTATAAGTGCGAAGTTCTACTTTCGTTTTGTGAATGGATTTGTTTAATCCTAGATTCATGTAATCCTTGTAAGATATGGTGCTCAATGCGGCCCCAGTATCTAGTTCCATTGTAATTTCATTTCCCTCAATGTCCACCTTCAAATTAAACTTATCTGAGTTTTTTGAAGTTATTAAGTTCATTTCATAAGATTCATCTTCTTCAAGTAAGATATCAGCTTGACATGTGTTTCTCAAGTTCTTAAATTTTAATATGGAATTCTCGCTCAGACAGACTCGAGCGATGTGACCCATCTTTCCACATTTTCTACACCAGTGTTCAGTAAATTTACATTTGTTAGCTTTATGTTTTTCGTCACCGCATCTGTAACACTTTCCCTTAAGGGATTGGAATGTGAATGAACTGTTGTTGGGTCCTGTACATTTAGTTCTCATTTCACTGTTTGTATTGAATTGTTTATTAGTAGGCGTTGAAATCACTTGATTGATTTCGGCTTTATGTTGTGAAGATGCAATCATCGTATTTTCAGTTTTAGATAGTTCCATTATCTTAGCAGTATTTATGACTTCCTGGAAGGTCTTGTCTGATTCTACTTGTAGTAGTTTCGTTCTTATCTCAGCGTCTCGCAATCCCCTGATGAACTGTAAACGTAGCATAGTTTCAGCTATAGATTTTCCACAAGAACATTTGAATTCACAAGGAGTAACAAGTTTCTTTAGTTCAACTGTAAAATCTGTAACGGATTCACCTACCATTTGCTCTCGTACTATGAAATTATGTTGCCGTGCCCAAATGCTTGGTTGAGGATCCAAATATTGCTTCAATAAAGCTATAAGGTCATCATAATCTTTCTGAAGTGGCGTTTCAGGTGCACAAATGTTGTAGAGCTTTTGATGTAACGTAGGAGGTAGGGCATTAAGTAGGGTGAATGTCTTTGTAGTTTCATCTGATATGTGTTTCAGGTGCATAAATACTTCAAGTCTTTTTGTAAAATTGTCAAAAGATTCATCTTCACTGAAAGGTACAAATGAAATATGGGATGTTGAAGCTGTATTGCCAGTAGAGTTGCTTGCATTACCATTGATTTCTTGAGTTGTATTCGAAAGTGAAATGGGTTTCAACTGCCTCAACATAATCTTCAACTTAATGAATACTTCTTCAATGTCCATCTTGTAATTTACTTCTTCATCCAGTTCTGTGTCGTTTATTATTAGTTCTATTTTCTCTTGTACTTCAAGAAATTTAGTCCATGTTGAGTCCAGAAGTTCTAGACGTTCATCAACTTGCCTAGGATCAATTTCATGATTGTTCAGCTTGTTTGTTAATTTAGTAAATTGTGCCTTGATTGACGTTCTTATCCTTTTGTAACTGTTTAAATGTGATCTAATGTCAGTTGACTCCATTTTGGTTTTCCTCGTCGCCAGTTATCAAGTCCTTAAATTATATAATAAACATGATACAAGAGAATGTACACCCTATTTTATTCAACCACTAGCTGTACCCGCGGGCTTTGCCCCGTTTAACTTCACAAGTGAGCTCGTTCGCATGGCTCAATCACGTCCTGGTTGGAGCTCGTTCGCTCCGCTCACTTGCCTTCAGGTTAGCTCGTTCGCTACGCTAACTCGCTTCCAGGTTGAAGTTCGTTCGCTACGCTCACTCACCTTTTGGTTGCAAATTGGCTGTAGTCATAAATTTAAAAAATAATAGTGCTGCACCCTGTTGGTAATCCTTGTAACTTTAATGCTATTGAACATCATAGAACAGAACCAACTTGTTTAAATGAACCAGCTGTTAAGAAATTCCTTTTAAATATGAAAAATCATAAGGTTAACATGGGAAACTCCAGAGCCACTGGGGCGGAGCCCGAAAGCCCGATCAGGATAAAAACTACTTAGTTTTCCTATTTAATGCCCAAAGAATCGGTGTACCGAATTTCAGCCTCCTAGGTAAATGGGAAGTGGGAGAATTAGTGATGAGTGAGTGAGTGAGTGAGTCAGTGAGGGCTTTGCCTTTTATATATTTAGATTTTGACTGAATGAAAAATATATAAACACAAACATAAACATTATAAAACAATAACATAAACCATGTGTTAAGAAATCATATGTTGTTGACAAATCCTTATTATCAAGGCTCTCTCGCTTTTTTCCATTGTAATATTTACGCTAACTCGAATTCAAATAGTAAATATTTCATTTCAACCAAGTCAGTAAATGTTTGTAGCAAACTCCTCGTTCCCACCATTGACTTAAGTCTGGGACTTATTTGCCAGGCCTATTCCCCGTGAAAATCTTATTTCTTTTTAGGCTTCAGCCACTTTTAATCTTCGTCCAGACACATTATGTGTCCAACAGCCTAGCAGCACGACTCCCTTCCCCATCCCGCTCTGAATGTTAGGGATCATTGAGATTCGCTCTAACCTTTCCTCTCCCTTCATGAGCAAGTTTTCATTCCTTTTCTTTCTTAGTTTTTGTTCGTTTCTTTTATTTAATTTTAAAAACTTGTATACATCCCTGGTTTTTCCTATTTCCCAAGCTACTTTTCTAAACGTCTCAATTGTGTCCTTGTCATCATGTTTTATTTTCTCATCTCTAGACCTCTTTTATTTAAGAATTCTTCCTGTTCTCTTTTATTTGTCTCCTGAAGTGAACAATTTATAAATACTTGACTCGTGGTTTTTATTTATCCACATCTACATACTTCTTCTTCCACCAGGAGAAATCTCCACACATTCGCCTTGAAATTTTCCATGTTCTGTGACAAACTGTGTTTCATAATGGCCCATCACCCAATCTTGTTTCAGTCTCTTTCTGATGTTAGGTATATATCCGAACGTTTACCTTTAAACCGTTAACATATTATTCGGCTATCAATGACAATAGTATTATTTGTATTTCGTTCGCGTCTACCAGTTAAAGTTTGTCGGCCTCCTCCTATTGGCCGTCCTGGTCGACGTCTTATAATCTCCATTATGTCGAACAATTTTTTTGTTATGTTTTGATTTTGTGCAAATAAAAACTGGTTTAAGAAAATGAAACGTCAATCTTTTCAACTAATCTAATAAATCCTTATAGCACATGTATCCAATTTTGGTATGACCATCTGTTTCAAATATTAGTGTCAATTTCAAAGTATTCATCTGTTCAAAAGTAAACAATGGAGCTCCATTACTTATAATCTCCGTTCAAAAGTATGTCAAACGTTTTTTTGGTTATGTTTTGATTTTGTGCAAATGAAAACTGGTTTAAAACAGTGAAATAACAATCTTTTCAACTAATCTAATAAATCATTAATCTAATAAATAAAGCACATGTCTCCAATTTTAGTACAACCAGCTGTGTTTAAAATATTAGTGTCAATTTCAAAGTATTTATCTGTTCAAATGTAAACAAATATTTTCTCCCTAACATGGGAACTTTGAAGGCCACTGGGGCAGAGCCCTGATGGAATTCCAAATTTTTTTGTTTGATGGCAAAACTACATGCTAAGACCTTTCTAACGACACCTTGGACATGGTGATCGGTAGCACCACCGCTCCAAAACAATTATGACTAAAATATGCCTAGCGTATTAAATATATACGAGGTGTTAGCCCGTCCTACGTACGGGAGTAGTCAGTTAAAACTGTGTAGGCCTATAATTCAGAACAGCTAGTTTACAAATTTTATTGCAGCCTACAGTAGAAAGAGTAATTATCAATTGAGAAGTGTATAGGCCTAGTCAATGATATCACCTTCCATCACATACCTGCTTCTTCCATAATTAATATCACCACAATACAATTACTCATACTATACACAATTTCCAGTAGGTCTGAATTGAAACTCCCTAAAATAAAACGAAAACATCCAATAAAATTCACAGTACACATAATTATAACGTTGGTGTCCTGACATCATTAAACGAATCATCCACACACATCCTTTATGTCATTTTCACTGCATCAATTGCTAAATAAATAAGTGTAAACAAAGAAAAGTAAACACAACAACATATTAGTTTGTTTTTTAAATAGCTGAGTCAAAAATAAAATAATATTCATTTGAACAAAAGAACTGGTCACATGTTGAAGGAATTTAAAAATTAAAAACTCTAGTAAAGCTAGTGACGTAGTTAATTGTCTATGTTTATTATCTATTCCGTTATCAGTTCTAATATCCTTGATAACTAAACCACCCTCATTGAATCAATGTTACAATCCCCATATTTATTTATTAAAACTATAAAATATTCAGCGCCTCCAAACGTAACCACAACTAAACACACGCCAAACAACTTTTTAGATTTCATAAAAGGATGGTAAGTCTAATAATTGCAGTATCCTGGGTCAATGATGACGTTGTGTTCAATCTATGTCATTCATCTGTATATCTTTGGATAAAACCCGTCTGAGGTTGTGGTGGTAATTTAAAATCGTATTCCTGATGATTCTTGATCTCCTTCTTTATGACATCAATATTCCCGGGCCTGATCCAAACAAAGTTTAAGCATTCAAAAACATTGATTGTAAACAAAAAGCCACCAAGATGAATTAAAACATGTAAAAATTATGATTTTTCTACCCTTTCCTAAAAAAGTTGAGCAGTAAAATAATTTGCATATAATTTTTTTAAGACTCGTGTACAGAGCCTCGACTTGTATACTTCGATGGTGTTACTTATCTCGGTGGTCTACTAATCTTACTTATTTCCTATAATCAATGACAAAATCAGAGTAAATAACCTCATAGTTCTATAGGGCATTTTTATAATTGACCAGCTGTTAGTTAAAACAAATTATATTGCACTAAAACAAACCAAAGATTACAAAGATTACTTAAAAAAATAATTTGAACATCCTAGTATTTTACTATGTATATTTAAATAATCTGTTATCCTCTTACCAAAGGATTGAACGTATCAATGATTAGCATTACACATAGTATAAATAAGTCAACCCTTAGTATATCTTTTAATTTGTTCCAAATGCTGAATTTGTGTTACAAACGCTGAATGTTTACAGCTGTTATGTTAAGCAAATTACATTATACCAAAAGCTAGTTTAGAATCTTAGCGTCGGCTGCTAGACTTTTCAAAAATTAAAAGTTAATTTCTAAATAACTGGGACCCTAAACTAAAATTATTTATGGCTTCGACATTCCCTAGTTCTCAAAATTATCTTCCTTTCACAAAAAAATCATGAAAATCCGTCGAGTGGTTGATTCAGAATAGTGAAATAAAAAAACCCTGTTATGTTTTAATATTATCGATATGTACATATTTTCTAGAAACTAGAAACATACCTTTGACACCAAACTGTTCGTGCAACTCAGTAACTGACTGTCCAGTCTGACATGATAAAGATCCTAACAAGCTCTGGGTTGCATCCTTGATCACATTGTAGTTATGCAGTTCTTCCATATGTTGCTTTAGATCTTGTTTTGTGTTGTATTTGCTCAAATCTTCATCCAATCTGTTCTCAACAGTTTTCAGGTAATTGTACAGATCTTTACTGTCCTGCAACATATTAATAACAACCTGAACCAAAATCTCAAGTCAGAACTTTTTTCATGTTTTCACATGAAAACACATCAGCTGTTTTTCTTAATAACTAAAAGTGCTTTATTTGAACTAGCTGTTACCCACGGGCTTCACCCCGTTTGACTTCATAAGTAATAATAAAACTATTGATTGGTTAAGTTAAGCTGAAATAAACAAATACGAATACAGTAATTTGAACAAATAATCACACTGATTTTAATAAGGTAATAAATTGAAAGAATAATAATTTTAATAAAGTAAACTTTTGTATTAGGCAAGCTCACGTATTTTAAGTCGGCGCGGCTCTATGATTATTTTTTATACAAAATTGAAAGAGGGTGTCCAGTCCATATAGCAGGTGACTATCTATAATTAAAGGTGTTAATCTGCATGTCATTTTCATAGTTATGCGTTAAGTGTTATTTTATTACCGTGTAATCAGAGATCGGCATTATAGTGGTATTAACGAGTATCTTTAAAAAGATTATAACGCATTTAAATGTTTCTAACTTGGAAAAGTAACGTTTTAATACTAAACTAACTTCTTTTCCCTATCATAATATCAAACTAAATTATTTTCCTATTCATATAGAACATTTGTGTGTGTTATTTTCATAATGCATTTATTCTGAAGTAAACATAAAATACAAGAAAATATTTCCTTTAATATATAAACAAAACAGTTCAGTATGTTTTTTATATATTTATGTTATCCAGCTACAATTTATTGATTTTCAAAATACACACACAATATTTAATTTCAATCATATTTGCAGTTTGAGCCGCGCCGACTTGAAATACGTGAGCTTGTCTAATACAAAAGTTTACTTTATTAAAATTATTTCATTCTTTTTAGAGCGTTTTGAAGTCGGTTGTATTTTTTACAAAAATAAATTATTTCATGATTTTTAGTGACTGTACAATTTTTTATATATTAATTACTTGAGGTTTTTTGATAAGCAAAACTGTTTGAAACAATCAAAAGTTCCACAGAACAATCATTATTTTAAAACTGCTTGAGTCACCTGTTCAGGTTACATAATCAATGGGTATGAAAATAAACATTTTTAGATATTCCTAAGAAAGAAAGAGTTGTCCATTACATTAGGCCTAATGAAAAACTAATTGTCTTTTCTAGATACATTGAAATATCAGACATCATCGTTTCCTGCAATCGGTGTACTTTTACATTATAAAAAGAAATACAGTAACGTCTCAAGCCTTTTGGAACAATATGAAAGTTATTCCTCAGCCACCAGCATTAAAAAATCTCTCAAAAGTGGAAAATTGGTCGTTAACACGTATAGTACCTTTGGAAAATATTAAATGAAAGATTGGTTCAGCTAAAAGTGGTGTAAGTCATGTAGGGGGTTGTGTTTGCTCAAGATATAGCCTAGTCGAAATTGAATATCATCTTCCTCTAGGACTTTCCGAAGCAGGCATAATAGTATTGATATGTTATAGTAACTGGGTAGAGAATATTAATAAACATTCCACATCTGCAAATGAAATATGTATATGAAAGATTGGTTCAGCTAAAAGTGGTGCAAGTCATGTAGGTGGTTTTGTTTGATCAAGATATAGCCTAGTCGAAATTGCAAATCATCTTCCTCTAGGCCGCAGGCATAATGGTATTGATATGATATAGTTTTGTTAACACTTCTGTGTATAATGTCTACATTGAACCAGAAATAAATGATGCTGTAAAAAAAAGACAATTGACGATTATGCACTGTCACACTTCTTAGGTCGTGTAAGGAATAATTGCATTTAATTTATATTTAGACCTGTTTTACGAATGCTTTGGTTTTCACGATACACCTTTATTTGTCAATATCATAAAGCTATTCACTGAAACATATATGTTTTTGTAAGTCAGAATATTCAATACTAAAAACAGAATTACTGTATACACAAATCAGGTCAAACGTTAAAATACATTTTTTATAGTAACCAAAACAAAATGCATTTTTCATGTTTCATGAAGAATTGTCTGTAATGACTGATCCAATTTTTGGCAAGACTTGTTGATGAACAGGTGCTTGCTTCCTGACATTGTTTTGATATATGTTTTACTTATTGTTCTCATATTTGAACAGATTGTAAAATAAATTCTGATAAAAAAAATTTAAATGGTTTCAACTAACAGCTGTAGGAAAGTTATTATTATTTATTGCCTTCTCTGCACAAATGTAAACAATCTGTACAAATGTAAACAAAATAAATGTTGAATATTTAAGGAATTCAGAATTTTTCACCGAAACAAATATTATACTTACGGTAAACATAATATATAAGGTTCCAAATAGAAACTCTCCTGGTTATTTTGGTGGTGGAACCACACTGATCGGTAAAAGAATCACAGAGAAATTGGTGAACATACATAGAAAAAAAAAAAACATCGCCACAAACAAATTGAGAACCTCCTCCTTTTGTTGGTAGTGGGGAAGTCGGTTAAAAACAAATAAGTACAGCTGAGGTCTTTTTTATATTGGATATATAGACAGTTCCCTTTAGAAAAGATTTACGACCTTAACCCTAGAGCTGGCAGTAGTGTAACGCTGTACTGGCATAGGGATTTTATTAATTATGTAATATCATTTTTAAACCATCATAAAAATTAGAAATAGCAACATAACTATGGATTATTATACATCATTTTGTTCAGAATAAAACAAAGAACAATAATATAGGTGGTTTACATGGTTACCACAAAAAAAATTTTTTTTATTTTTTCCGAATTTTAGGCATTATTAGTTTTTTTATAAAATGTTTTATATTCCGTCGTGTAGCTAAGTGCAGGTTAGACTTATCATCATAAGGTAAATTGTAAAGTTGTAGTAAATTTTGTGCTGATTCAAAAAATATATAGTTTATATAGCTTACTTTGTGTATTTTGTTTGATAGCCCTATTATTATGTTGATCGTACCCCCGCGCTAGTACCAAATAATCATCCAACCCAGGTCATGTACAAAACCGTACACCTTATATAATATATAATTCCAGGGTATTCTGGTTTGAATTATTTAACTTATTTAGTACAACAGTAGCCCTAAAAAGCGAACAAAACTAAAAAAAAAAAAAAAAAAATTTACAGGCCTACCGTAACATCTGCATTGGCGCCGTATATCCGGCGTTGCCATTTCGGCCGCGGCCGTTCGCGCCGTATATCCGGCGTTTGGCACCGCTAGGGTTAAAGGCAATTTATGAAATAATGGATAGTTTTGCGCAAGGATGCGTTTTTTCTCGTCATGACGAACATTTTAAGTAGGGCCTATATGGTTTATGGGGGTGTGACTTGTAGTTTTCTCAAAAGTTCATAGGTACTTTGGGCTTTAAATATGGATTCAAATTTTATTTTTACTTCAAGATTGAAGTTTTATCTTCCTATTTTCAACAAGGTTTTAACTTTAAAGAAAATAAATAGTAATCTTCATCATTAGGAGCGAAAGTGGCTCTTTTTGGTACGCAAAAGGTAAAATATTACAACATTCACTATTCACACTACTGTACTCACATTCTGTATTGAAATGAAAACAAAACTAAAGGACAGTTTCATCTAGTTTAAATAATCAACCAGACTATAAAAATTGTTTTGAAAAAGGTTATTATAAAAATAGCCTTAAATTTGTTAATTGAATAAATATATTTATTATTTTTTTAATGAATTATACACTTTAATTGATAAAATGATGTGGCAATTACTAAGTTTTTACTTAGGCGATGGGATTCTAACAGCGCAGTATATTTTAAACGTGAGTTGTGACTGTGATTATTAAATTGGTGATATTCAGGGGTTTTTAATTTATAAATAATCAGATCATAAATATAAAAAAAATACTACAGTTTGAATTTGCAGATCTATAAAAAGAGGCTTGCAATGATCAGGGTGCCTCCCAGTCATTTATTTATTTATTTATTTATTAAAATACATCACATAACGCCTAAGGAGTGCTTCTGCACGCAGGCAGGTAAATTGTCAAAATATACACTGTGTACTAGTATAGAATAAAAGCAACATAATAATAAATATAGTAATAAACATAATAAGAATAAATTATTAACAGTATTGAACAGTATTGAAAAAACAAGTATAAAATAAGTTAGGTTATTAGCAAAGTTTACATTAAGTTATATCAATGTCTATAAGTTATGTTTACTACAATCAGACTGATAAAAATCCTCAATTCTGTAAAAACAATTGTCTAACAGGTAAGACAGTAAGTGTAACCGGAACTTTATAAATGATTTTACCTCTCTCAGTGATAAAGGAAGCTTATTATACAGTTTGAGACCCATATAAAAAGTACTCTTTTCATAAGCAGCAGATTTATGTATGGGGTACTGCAACACAGAGCTCATGGGCCTAAAGCTGTATCATAGCTCTTAAAGCGCTTTTTATGAGAAACAAAATTTATTTTACTCTAGGCTACCCCTACCACCCCAAAGCACCAATCCATATCTCATAAGTGACATGGAAAGCGAGCATGAGTGAGCAAAGTGAGCATGGGCCTAAAGCTGTATCATAGCTCTTAAAGCCCGTTTTATGAGAATCAAAATTTATTTTACTCTAGGCTACCCCTACCACCCATATCTCATAACATCCATATCCATATCTCCCATCCATATCTCATAAGTGACATGGAAGTATGTAAAATAGGCTGTCCTTACATATTTCATTATAGGAGCCTGATTTATAGGATGATTTAAAAGATAAACCACCGAGACAATCTTGAAGGTAAATAATCTATATGAGCATTACATGTGAGTTGATTATCAATATGAAGGCCCAAAAATTTTACAGCTGTACTATTATTTAGATCACAGTGAGTGGGGATCTGTTTTAGTAAAAAATTATGTTTTGGGGTTTTTCTTCATTTAGCAAAAATCAATAAACCAATTTGATGCATTTAGCTTTGTTTCATGGACAAGATTGTTGAGTTCTGTTAGGTTGGGGTTTACATGAAAAAAATTGTATCGTCAGCATACAGAATAGTTTAACAAGTGGCGGCAATAGCGGGCCCGCAAGCCTTGACCGGGATTATTCGGGAAATTTTACTGAATTTTTTGGTCCCCGGCAGGTCACTTTATGAGAGGGCCTTTATGCTGATTCAACTAAATAAACTCATTTTTTACGAACAAATCTGCCAATAAATAACAACTAGCCAATAAATAATTCCATTCTTTCGTTGATACTTTTAGGAGACTACAGTAACTGCACACAAGATTTGGTTTAATTCGAGTCAGGTAAAAAATGTGTCCTACCTATTGGCCTTGGGCCGAAATCAGGTTGGTTTAAAATCGGCTTGCTTTTGAAACTGTCGACTTTTAATATAAAATATTGATTTTCGAGCAGAGCAGAGTCTGGCCTACAGGCTTGAGAGATCAACACAAGTCAGAAAACCGAGTTCGAGCCGATTTTCTCAATACTCAATACAATAATTAATACCCAATTAAAAAGTATTGGAGAAGTAAAAGCTTTTATCTACGCCAGAATCACGCTCACGAGATTGAAAGATAACGCTTTTGACGCGATAGCGGATATCAACGAGAACATTTCCACGCGGTTAACGATGACTATGTCTCCGCAACGGGGAGAGATGTTCAGTTCACCATTTTGCCACGATTGCGGAAGACGACAATGATGTCCACACGACCGCAGGAAAGTTCAGAATTTGGAATAATGGATAATGGAAGACGATGATGACGTTTCTTTTTCCGCGGGAGATATATTTAGGATTTTGCTGCCATTCCGGAAATGTATGTGTCCATCATCGCGAGGGATATTAGGAATTGGGCCACTAACGCGCGAGACGATAATGTTATCTGATGATGTCCTAGGATTGGTTGTAATCACGGTAGACTATAATAATGTTTCCATGACTACAGGAAGTATGCTCGATTTTGCCGAGATCAAAAAAGACGATGATGACGCCTCGGTGCCTCAGGAGATGCCGTTCCAAGCAAAAGTGCAAGTTGAGATGGAAATGACTGTGATCATGTTTTTTTAAAGATTATTGGGAGAGAGGGGCCCGGTGAACAAACTTGCGGGGGGCCCGTGGGCTCCTACCGCCGCCACTGAGTTTTACTGATTAAAATAAATTAAGAATAAAAGTGGACCAAGGACTGAGCCTTGAGGAACACCCTATTTAACATTATATTCTTGTGACGTATTACCGTTAATGCTTACTATTTGTTTACAATTTTTTAGGTAAGATGAAAAGAATTGTAGAGTTGGCCCTCGAAACCCATAATTTTGTAATTTGGTATCAGCTAGCTAATGTGTTTCAATTCGTTAATATCAATATATGGGATCAAAAAATAAAATTTCGATGTTTCGAAATAAATCATCGATAATAATGAATGTTCCCTTTAATAGGAAAGTACCAAAATATGTTACAATATAGATTTCTTTAATTTGAACTTAAAGAAGGAAAAAGATTTCTAAGTAAGGATAGGTTCTGATCAATGAACTTAATTTAAATTCAAGTTTTTATTCCCAAACAACCTAATCAAATAGGTTAAATATAATAAAACCAATTAAAATACCAATTTATGTTTTACAAATTATTATCTCTAGATTGCATAAAAACGCTAGTTTACAGTTATTGTTTTCATTTTTTTCCCAGGCTACCTGGGCCTTTCTGGGGGGACCCCCAGGCCCCCGGCACTGGGGGCCGCTTGGGCCATTCCTGCTCCAGGGCGCTTCAAACTTGGCAATGCCACTGATTACATTGATCACTGTACCTAATACAGTATGGCAACTTGTAAAATTATTGTGTAGTATTAGTTCCAGTAGATAATTAATTTCATGCAAACATTTCTTGGTTGAGTTAACTACCTACTGCACGAAAACACTTGGAATTAACATATGTACACTTGTCACCCACTTAAAAAAAAGAGCCTCAAAATCACAAATGGTCACTCTAATTCACTAATTTAAATGGTCTTTCGATGGTTCAGCCTTTTCCTAATTCGTCTAACCAGCCTCCCATTTAAGCCTTACTGTAATTTTAGAGAATAGTTAAAGACTAAAAACTAATATTTTAAACAGCATTTAAACATCTCATTTACCTTTACCAACCTTAAACAACTTAAGCTTTTCTTCAGTGACTAGACCTACTTGTTGAAGCTGTTGAATCATTGACTTTGTAGGTGTACCAAGCCTGAAAATGATAACTATTAGGTAGTGTAAAAACAAAGGAATAAGTCTACAAACATTTCATCATAGGCCTAAATATTTTAATTTGATCTAATTGCAACAATCTATATATTTAACCCTCCGAGCGTCACTCGTCGAAAAATCGACGCACGACCCACTTTGTGTAGTGTCACGCGTCGATTTTTCGACGCACGAACATCGTTTACAGCGAAGGCTCTATGACTGACTGAATCGGATTGAACTGGATCGAGTTAGGTATCGTTCTTTTCGTTAGATTCTAAGCTTTCTACAGAGGTCTGTCTCTAAGCGCTTTATGTTCTCCGAGCCGATCGTAATTGTAGCAGACAGCTGACGTGCGTGTTTGTAAACAGCTAGGTTACCCTCGGACCGATACTGATGTGTTTTATTACGTTTATCATTGTTTTAGTGTTAAAAATCAAAAGTAGTGATATACGTGGTGCATTATAAGAAGATTTAAGTGATTTTGAAGGGCTGGTTGATGATACTGAAGAAGTAGGTAGTGATATTGATGTAAATTATCAGCCAGATTCCTAGCTATGGTTAGGCTATGCATTCTTAGCTAAACGCTATGTACTGAAATCTGTTTTTTGCCCATAACTTATTTATCTGCAAATCTACTTCCTTGTATTATTATATATTTGTAATCCTCATAAAATTTAGAACAAAACGGCTATTTTCAAATATTTATAGGCCTATAATTTATACAATTTCATTGAGCGCAAACTTATTTTTTTTTTGAAAATTTTCCAAAATATATTTTTTTTTACCTAAAAAATTGTTTTGAAACAAATGTTCCTTATGTTTTGTGTATAATATTGAAGCCCATGATTTTCCAAACAAAATGGTATATAGAACAGTAGAATTAACATTGTTTTAAGCTTCTCAGATCCGTTTTAATAAAACCTTGCAAATGCGCCAAAAATAGGCGGACATTATAAGGCCTAAACTATGGACACTCGGAGGGTTAATAGGCCAACATAAATTTTGTGATAACTGTTTTGAAGCTGCCACGCATCTGATGACCATGTATAAGGTGTCATTGGATAAGTCGTCGCCTGTAGATTTGCCATCAAACAACAAATCTTTAAAATTCTATCAGGGCCTGCTCCAGGGGCCTTTAAAGTTCCCATGTTATTCTTATGAAGAAAATATTTGTTTACACGTCAACAGATGAATACTTTAAAATTTACACTAATATTTGAAACAGCTGGTTGTACTCAAATTTCAATTAATGGAAAAAACTTACTCCGTTTTGGATGTGTTGCAGAAAGTCAACTGTGCCAGAAAGTCAAATAATTTATTCTTGTGCTATTAGGTAAAAAACAATATATTTTGCTGTAGCGTTAGGTCAACAGTCCCACTTGGTCAACAAGTAAAGTCGGTGCTAAAAACGTAGGCTGTGTATATGAGTTTTCATTTTGCTAATTGGATTTTCATTTTGACATAGTAAAACAGTTCCTACGAAGAACAAATATTTGATCAAACGATCTATTTGGATGTGTTGCTGAAAGTCAACATTACCAGAAGGTCAAAAGTAGGGATAGTCTGTTCAAAACAACCATAGTCTTCTCGACTCACAGCTTCAATAATTTTGTGTTTTGGCGTACTTAAAATTTTGTGTATTTTTTTAACAGGCACAGAGGTTCTTGGTTAATACTACTGGCTACTGGCTGACTGTTTGGTTGGAATCTAAAACAAATTATCGACCTCATTAGTAAAAATGTATATGTAGGGTAAAAGTAAGTTTTAAATTGTGATTTGAAACATGAAAAATTTAGCATGCAAGGAAGATTTTTATTTTTTGGTCAGAGAGGTTTCATCTGTGGCAAATTTGTAGCCAATAGTTTGATTCGTAACATATATTTTATTTAAATGTTTGCGCTCAGTAGTTCAGTAGATAACTTCGGTTAAACAGGAAGGGATATTTAGCATTTTGCAACACGTGCTTACAGTTCAAGGACAAGAAAAACATTCATTTACAAACCAGTAGGCCTACATTTTTTATTACTTATAAAACATCTTTCATTATTACCAACTTCCATGTTTCACAACAATTAATAACAAATCTTCAATCTTCATCTTATCTATATAATTAACTAGCAGAGTACCCGTCCTTCGTACGGGGTTGGCATAGAAGTATAAAATGCTTATTGCAGTTACGGGAGAGGACACGGTTTAAGGAAATTTATTTAGGCTACCTACGATACAAAACCAGTGATAGATTTTAAGGTACAGTAAAAGAACGTGTTTAATGGTTTGCACTGTAAACAAAAAAACTATCACAACAGTTACAAACCGAAAAATATAAATAAATATGGAAAATAGGGTAATTTTCTACAACAATATTTTAGTGAAATTATAATCAGGAAAATAGAAATTTACTCAGTCTATAGACTTGCTGCGGCAGGGGGATTATATTGCTGTTTACACAGAAATAAATCAAAAAAATAAACCTCAAACTCAGGATAATGGCCTGGCAATGATTATAGGATCTTAATTATTTCTTATATCCATGAATGATTTATTTTACAACGAATTGTTCCCTGTAAAATATTATTACAGCATTTCACAAATATTAGTACAAACTCAGTATAATAGATCATAAACATAAACAAATGAAGTAACTGAAAGAATCATACACTAATGAAATTACATTAACATATGGTTTTTGACAGCTCCATTTAAGTGAGGTTAAATAATGTTTACATTCGGGCTAGTGACATCGTTATTTTAAATTTATAATCCTTACCCTCTCTGTTCTAATATTCGTGCAGTATTTAATATGTTTCAACCAGCTGTGTGGAATTGTGAAATCAAAATTCATTTGACAGTTCTGCTTGTTTACATTTTTAAACTTTGTAGGTTTGTTCTTTGTTACCATGGATACTATCAATTAATATTTACTTTTAAATCTCTCACCTCAAATTTTTGAATGCCCACGGGGCAGAGCCCTAGGACAATATCGAAGCGGGAATAGTTCTATATGTATCCTCGGAACTGTAGCTTCATTTGTGTGCAATTTGAGCCCACTAGGTTCAGTAGTTTTTGAGATTAGCTCATACAAACACACAGACACCACCTCTTCTTTATAATAGTATTGATAGATAGATAGATATAATTAATATGTTATATAATTAATCTATATAATATATAACCATCTAGCCTATATAATTAATACCTCATATTCGTGTTCAGCGACCCAAAAAACATGAAGAAAAGTGGTGATTAGGACTGTACCTAAACTTTCCGCTAACTTTCCTAATATGCCTAGGCTAAAGTCATAGAGCCACCAAGTAGAAGAAATAGATATGATGTATTTTTAAAGAATTTACTATCGTTATCAGCCTAATGAAGAACACCTACAATATGAAGATTCCTACAAATAAGTTAACGACGATGTTAGCCGAAGTGCTACCATTTTTAATAGGAAACATGGACTTTACTTAACACCTATGGTTGAATAAAACTGGTTGGGCAAGGACATTAAAAATATGTTTACATAAAAGTCAAGTGATATTAGAAGAAATATAGGCTGCACTTTAGTTTACGTCCTACATTTAATATTATACGTTATACATTAACTACCAGCTGATTATAAAATGAAACTGTTCTAAACTAAAGCTAACCTTAACCAAACTGCAGAATGTGAGTAAATGTAGGACGTAAACTGAAGTGCAGCCTAAAATTAAACTGTCATAACCTAACCTAACTAACCAAACTTACTGAAGATAAAAAAATCGCATAAAATGTAATCAGATAAAATGTAGGACGTTGTTAACTAACGTGCAGCCAAATCAGTTCACATACCTTTCCATGGGAGTTTATTATGCACAGTTTTAGAGTTAATCCAATAATTTATTTGGACATTTTATGGGAATAATGGGACGACTCGGGACGAGGTTGAAGTTGAAGGTTGAGGTTATGTTTTAGTTTTCACTCTGACTCTGCTCTGTGGCTGGCAATGGAGTATTTTTTTTTCTAAATGTCACAAATGTGACGGCCTTGATTAAAATTCACGAGGCCCCAATGTTCACTTTTTGTGGTTATCCGTCTTTTTCTTAGTTTATTTGATATTAATCAGGAGAATGGTGTTGACACTTTAATTTTGTTATTTACATACATAAATGTTGACAATGAGCTATGATTTGTTCTGATATTTTTAGTTAATAATAAAGAAAGGATCTCATTAAGGAAAAATTGATGTAGTTGGGTATCTGGGAGGGAGGGAAAAGGTTTAGTCTTCCCTGCCTGGGCCGATCAGGCAATGTCCTAACCCGAAAAAGGTGGGCCTTGGATGAAGAAACCCAGGATTGGACAAACATTCATGTGAAATTTGAGTGAAAGTTATGTGTTTGTTTCTAGATCTTTCGACCGATAGAATGAAGGAATTTGTTTAGTTCGAGATAAATGTCGTGATCATTTGTGCTGACAACTTCATTAATTTCCATCGTAAAGTTTTTACTGGTTCTTTTGGTCTTTTTAAGATGCTGGTCTCTATCTAAGCTGTATTTTGGGCATTGCATGAAAATGTGGTAATGGAGAAAACCGTGCCACTGTTTTTGCTGGTTTGTTTCGGTGTTTCGTGTTGTTGTTGTTAGGTTGGCCATACAATCGGTTGGCGGGATGCTGTCAAATTCCAATTCATTCTAAACTAACCATACTATTTACTTGCGGTTATCCGTTATTTCAAGGACTTGTATCAAAAACTTATTTAAGTTATATTCGTTAAAACCTGTGTATTTAAAGTTATTAGGAAACATTATAAATTGTTTTTGATAGTAAATAGATAGGGCCTACTAACTTATTTACCTCTTTTCAAGCTATGTGGTGAAAATAGTCAAGTTTCCTGGTTTGGAGATATTGATTTAGTCTTAGGTGTATCCTTAGACTAAGCTATGATTTATCTATGGTTTATCCCTATGACATTTGATTAAATAACGACCATAGGTTTATGATCTTGTTAAAATGGGTTGCTCGTAAAATAAATAAATAAACTTATATTGCAATCATAATGTTGACATATTTTTTTTACTATCTACAAAACAACAGGATAACAGGATGATGCCATCTAGATCTTGCCTCTAATTTGACACACGGGATACGGACAACACGGACAAGGCCAACCTAACAACACAAAACTCTGAAACAAAACCGGGAAAACCACCAAAAACAGTGGTACGTTTTTTTTAAATACAGAGTGGTTACTCCAGTTATTATTATAGCTCAGTAATTGCAGCTGGTGGTCCTCGAATAGAATTGATTCTATGCTCAAGATGTTTGTAAAGCATAAAAAAATTCAGTCGCCTTTCTAATTCCTAGTTAGTAGTAGGGCCTACCATAGATAAAACATACTCCAAAATTGTCCCCTAGTTATTTAACCAAACAGTAAAGCACAAATCAAGAAATTAACCCTAAAATAATAGAAACAAAATTTCGTCGACACTAGCGCCTAGTGTGACGTACATGAACTAGACATGAAAAACGAGCTTCAAAATTTACAATGGGATGAGAAGTCTACTTGTGTTGGTTAGTCTATGGTAAGCCCCCTGCAGACGGGGACAGTAGTGGCGTCCAGTACTGGCGTCCACAAGTGGCGGCCACTGTACTGTCAAGACAGTAGCCCTACACACGGGGACAGTACTGGCTGCCACAGAAACTGTTTTAGTGGCGGCCAGTGTGACACCACAGTGTTTTTGTTCAGTATCAAAATGAATTAATTTGACGTGGAATACGAAAATGCAGTGGATGAAGTTGTTGAAGAAAATAAGAAATAAGAAAAATGAAGAAAATACCCCCGCCGTTGCAAACCTGCAGACAATAGGCAAATTTCCATTAGCCTGATTTGATTTACACTAAAATGCCTCCTTGAAAATATCACATTTCTTCCCTATTTAAATAGAATTAGTTTAACGAGTACTTAGGTTTGCTGCAACAGGGAGGGTAAAAAAGTGTTTTTTTGTAAAATGTTAAATAGTTTAGTGAGAAATGAATGTATTTTCCAAATTCAATCAAAATATGTTCATAAACAAGCAAACTACAACAGTAGACTTATTCTCCGTAAAAATAACATGGGATTTTAAATTTATAATTTTTTGGAATTTTCTCCGTAACCATTAGGCGCACAATAACGCTTCGATATGCTTAATTTGTTTTTCAAGCTATACAAAATGGTTTGGAAAGAAGTTGTGAAATTTTTGTTTTAGGGTCAAAAATGGAAAAAACCCTATTTTTACCCCATAAAGCACCCCCCATAAACCCCCGTTCCCATAGTCCGATTTTTAGCCAGTGGTGATTCCTATCAATCACTAGCAATATTTTTTCGAGTACCAGCAAACAATGTCAGTTTCATGTCTGATAGTTAAATGAATAAGTTAAATGAATGTGTCCAGCGTCTATAAGTTATAGGTTACCAACTTAATAATAGGCCTAGATTGTACATTTTGTTGAAATCGCGTATCGACAACAGTTTCCTCAGTGCTCTAATTGCGACTAGAACATTTAAGGTTAGGAAAAATTGCCGTCAGTAGGTCACGTGACCACGCTACTGTCCTCTGAGCGGCCACTAAACTCAAACTATTTTGTCTTTACTGGCGGCCAGTAGCTACTGGCCGTTGAAGCGTCCAGTACCTCATCACACGTAGACAGTAGGCGGACAATTACTGGCCGCCATTAATGGCTAGGTCTACTGGACGCCACTACTGTCCCCGTCTGCAGGGGGCTGTAGTACGTGGTAGTACTGTATTCGTGACAGATGGCAGTGGCAGACACTATCCATCCACAAGGGTCGCGTTCCGGACAGGCTCAAGGGAGCCATCCGCTACGTCGTCGCGTCGCGTCGTATTGAAGGGGGTACGCGTCTAATTGTCAACTCGTCAGATTGGCACCCTTCCTATAGGTGAAGATCAGACGTGTGCAGTAACCGACAGATTGGAACCCCGAGAAAGGGGTGATGCCAATCTGCCATCTGTCGGTGACAACTTTGACAGTCCCGCAGAGGCAGGGTCGGCGAGAGCCGGCACGGGCTCCTGGGCTGAACGATCCTGGGCCCCTATTTTCCTGATTTAGTGCCCAGCCGCCTCCGTGCCGTTTTGTTGCATATATAACAATACATATAAAAAATGCATGGTTGTTTGGTTAATTCTCGTGCTCACAGTTGCAGCTTTATTCAATTCAAAAATTACTAAGTGAACTGGAAAACCATGCTCAAATTTTTGACTATTAGCAGATTTTATGTCCAGAAAAGATTTTACATTTGATCAGGCCGGGCCCCCTTCTGAGCCCAGGGCCCCGGGGCTCTGGCCCCCCCTGCCCCACCCTCTAGCCGGCCCTGCGCAGAGGTGACAGTCGTACAGCACCGGACAGAATGGCACCCCTGGCCTCGATAGGCCCTCCTTATCGTTTTACTTATAATTAAACACTTCTAACTCCCCCCACCACCCACCTAATCTGATGTTTAAGAACAGAAACATGTCAATAATCAATGCATGTCAATTAATTAAATGCATACACATTGATAATAACATTAACTTTAATGAAATAATCGATTTTTCGAATCATCGAGGGACGAATTCCTAAACGTATAAGCATAAAACAGCACAAACTGCTTCGTAAATGGTTCATCTAATCAGAAGTTACAGTTCCTCAAGGATTTTAATATTATGCCATTAAACTCAGGTTTAAAATTTGGGAAGCCATCCAATAATAAAAACATAACAAATAGTAGGGACATTGAAGGTTTCAATAAAAATTTAAAACACAAAGATTTAGTAAAAATTTATATTTTAATGGTAAATACATGGATGTCCTGGCGCAGTTTTCTTAACGTTCATAAATACACTGTACATAATTTAAAATCACAGCCAAACTCATCTGAGTATACATTTGCATTTTGGCATTTTTTTAATGTTCTGAAAATATAACATTGCAGAGTTCATTATTCTTTTGGTTCAAGGCATAAGTCCTGCCAGAAACTGGAATTACTTTGTATTTTGATTTTCTTAACCTGTGCTTACTCCCTGGAATTCGTTCAGTTTTATGTACATTGTGTCTGAAACAAACAAAGAATAGTTATTTGTGTAACTAGTGAGCAAAGGCCTTTTGCCACACATGTTTACACATTATATTTTTCCTAGGTACAGTCACTATAAAGTATATAAATAATTAGTCTTTCAAACACTATACATCATGTTTTTAGGTACAGCTGGCAACACAGGTGCCCTGGAGAAAGTAGTCCCTGGTCCGTATCACTCCGCTATTTTTTCCTCGGCAAGCAATGTGTTTGTAATTTGCAGTGGTTTCCGCACCAAAAAAAAGCTTCAAGGTATCTTCTTGTTTATTAAGATCGTAGGAAATTTTTAAAAACGTTTAAAAGAAAAGTCTAGAAAGTTCAGAAATACCGAAATGAGAACATAAACTATAAACCCGAAATGACAGGTTAAATGTAGTTATAATAGTCAATCAGCTGCTCATTATTATCTTTAAGTGTTGCCAACCTATTTCCAAGCGTACACGGATTACGTGCACAACAGAACCACGCTGTTTTGTGTTGTTTCGTTGGAATCCTGATGTGTGCCAAAGTATAAACCATACAAGAAAGTATACCGTACAACAAAGTATAAATATGCAGCAATTAGCAGCTTTCTGTACTAAGAACAGTACAAGGAAGCCAACTTTGTTGGGTGACTGTAGGAAAACTTATTTTATAATCCATGTACTGCACAGTATTTCTCAATCGTATGAAAAATACATGTATTTAAATTTGTTGTATAATCATTTTAACTTTAACTAATACAAATTTAAATAATTGTAAATTAAAATTAATCGGCGTTTAGGTGAAGTAAGTACAGTAGTTTAGGTAGTAATCTATATAAATCTCCAGGTATTATCAAATTATCTACACCTTCCCGAAAATCAATTCTTTGTTTGAAGTTCATTGTTGGAGATGGTGAGTTAATGTTGTTCAAAGGTTTATTGCGGACATTTTCCCTCACGATGGTAAAAAACGATACACCATAATCTTCATAATCTTTCATAATCTTCATACACAATATCAGTTTCAAATTTGGCAATATAGGTTAAGAATATAAACGGCACATAAGTGGCATCCCCATCTTAAATCTATATATCTAATTCCGTAAGCCCAAAATTTTACAATGAAATTGTGAGTGAACGGGAGGCCGTAGAAAGCTGGGAGGGGTCTCATTTTAAAGGTCTGGGCATGAAATTTTGGGGAAAAATATTCATTTTTCTTAATTATGCACCAAAACGTTGTTACGGAATAAAATAATTCACATTTAAATAGCATTGGAATCTAGGTAATGTCTGCTTTGTTTACACGTGGTTTAACTTTATTTAAATCATATGGTAATATGTAATATCATTCCTGTAATATATGACGTACCATTAAAGCTGAAATAAACTTTTTACCAAATTTAAGGGGGTTCTGGATTTAATAAGTACGATTGGTTGTGTAGGTATGTCTGAAATAAGTGTAAAGATAGAAGTAATTACTGGAGTAGGCAAAGGGAACATATTTTTCATGCCAAAAATTAAACTAATATCTACAGATCTTAATATGCCGTTTAAGTTTACAAGGATTCAATGCCCATTGCAAATAGCTTTCACTATTATTATAAATAAAGTGCTAGGCCAAACCTTCACAAAAGTTGGCATTTATTTGAAAAAACCAGTGTTAACATACACAAATGTTAAAGGATAATTCAAGGTAGGGTAACCCATGAGACTAATACATGTAATTTATACAAAATATTTACTAATACACATATAGGGGCTATTGCCCCTACAAGCCACTAGTTATTGATATAATTGAGTAGTGCCATACTGTGACAAATGGGGTCTTAGATAGACAAGTTTAAAAAGATAAACATGTTTATGTATATATATACAGGGTGACAATTAAGTCTGGAACCTCTTTTTAAAATTTTTAAACCACAATAGAAAAAAATACCAAAGTTCACACTTGCTTAATAGTGATAGTAACGCACACATCTGCCCAATTACCGACCGGATAACCCCTTTGGGGGACGGTCCACAATGAGTCAGACAAAATTCTTAAATAGCAGCATAAGTCGAATTTGGTATAAATTTGAAGGTCTCCGTTAGTAAAATACAATGCCACCAATTCTAACTGAAACGGACAACCAAGTCAAAAATGGCAGCCGTTCAAATATTTCTTTAATCTGCCATTTTTAATCTTTGAAAGGCTGCTTTTTTTACCCAGCTGATATTTTGAGCTCAAATTTGTGGCATTGTATTCTACATATAAAGACCTTTTAATGTGATGTGCAAATCAACCTATGCTTACGTTTATGATTTTGATTCGACTTCTAGCGGGTGCCTCACAGTACAGGCTTGTTATGCTTGTGTATAACAAGCATTGCAAATTCAAGGAATATTTTAACAACTGTAATTTTTGACCCCATTGTCTGTTTAAGTTCGGGTTTGTGGCATTGTATTTTACTAACAGAGACCTTTAATTTGATACCAAACTCAACATAAGCTGCTATTTAAGAATTTTGTCCTACTCATTGTGGACCGTCCCCCAAAGGAGTTATCCGGTCGTTAATTGGGCAGATGTGTGCTGTAATATTACCAGTTACTAGCACATGTGAACTTTCTTATTTTTTTCTGTTGTAGTTTAAAAATAGAAAAAGAGGTTCCAGACTTAATTGTCACCCTGAATAATTCTACACTTAACATTTGAATCTTCTTCTGCTATTTAAGAATTTTGTCCGACTCATTGTGGACTGTCCCCCAAAGGGGTTATCCCGTCGTTAATTGGGCAGATGTGTGCGGTAATATTTTTTGACAATAATTGATAGTACAGTTTAAATTTGCTTTATCAAACTGACCGGAGCCTCACGAAAGATTATTTTTTCTTTTCTCTATGAAAAGGTGGTGATATGTTTTGTAAGTCAGCAATAAAACATAAACTGGCAAAATTTTACAACAAAGTGCATTGTGATTGTCGGCAATCTTTTGACTTGTAAACTCTAATGACTTGGTGAGTGAGCTGATCAACCCAAGTGCAAGTGAGTCAATGCAAGTGATATTACTGCAACTTCTAGGTCTAGCCTGAAGTAATGGAAACAATCTTATAACTTATGTTCAACTTGGTAGTCAGTTCCATCAGTTATGGTTACACTCACTTGATAATTGAGTCGGGTTGTTGCAGCTGTAAACACAGTGCGATTGTGCTGTAGAAGTCTATGTTGGAGGCCAAACGTAACCTGACCTCGGTAGCCAAAGTGAACTGAACCTGACTGTGGACGAACAGAGAGTTGACTCGGACAGCTCCAGTCATCGATACACCAGCACTGAAATGACAGAGGATCTGTGATAAATGACTTTAGATACAGCTTTGACTAAAATCCAATAGTCAATGGATTACAGTAAGTATTCATCCAATCCATATGGACCAGCTGTAGCCAGTGTGTAGAACTGTAGCCAGATTGTGCCGGTCTATTTCAACTTATCATACAATGATAGTTAATGGAGAAATGGAATATACTGCAGTTTACATAAATTGCCTTTACAGATTGTCATGATGAAAAGTTCCCTAAATAAACGGTATCAGCATTCTGACACATACTTTCTCCCATAAGTTTGTCAACAACCTTTATCACGCGTTAGCGGTGAGAGTAAATATACGGAAATGGGATTAGTACAATTTTGATCATAATTTAAAGGATTATAACACAAATTTTTTATCAAAATCGTTAGGGCCATTTTTGTGAAAATCTGATTTCCCGTTATTTTATGGGGTTTTTATGGGAAAATGACATAATTTACAATAACTTTTGAACCGTAATTTTTACAGAAATGGGATTTGTACCATTTTGTTCAGAATATAAAGGACTATAGCATACAACATTTTTATCAAAATCGTTCGAGCCATTTTTGGGAAAATCCGATTTTTCAGTTATTTTATAGGGTTTTATGGGAAAATCCCCATTAAAAATCAAAATTTCAAAAAAATGAAAAAAACGCCTGGATATACCATGGATTAGAACCTACATTCCAAATTTCATTGAAATCCACAGGACCACAGGTGTAGTCTCTAGCTCTGTACACATCCAGACACACAGACACACACACAGACATCACTTCGAAAACCACTTTTTTGGGTCCAGGGGGACCCAAAACGAATATATCCACTCAAAACTCAAACTCGAAAATTTTGACGAAAACAATACTTTCTCCATATTCTATGGTATAGGGGCAGAAAGTGAAAATGATATTTTTAAGCAGCACACTTTGCCAGCTGTATTAATTGAACCAATTTCTTTCCAATACAAAAACCTGCTTTACATTTGATAAAGGGAATGGAATGTCTACTTAACAAGCACGAGTTTTGGACATAATAAACTAGTTTTTCTGTGTGAATTAGAAAGACTAAGACTAATAATGTTGAGGGAAAAGAACCCTCGGCACATTGCAACATTTACCACTTAATCTTCTATTAGGTTTGTTCTTTGTAGTTGTCAGTAATAAACTATTTTGGACAGTGGTGAAGACAAAACATTTCATGCGCATGACATAAAATTGAATACCGTATGACAAAAGAGCAGAAACATGTATGCACATTTTTAAGCAAAATATAAATGGAATGTTAGTAGGATGGATGCCTTGCGTCTTTACTGACAAAGACCAGTTGATTCGGTAGATCTAATAATAGTCAATAAATAATATTCTGGGAATTTTTAATAGGGAACAAATTAAATTATCAGCTAACTTTAAGAGAGTCCAGATTTAATCACTATATACAATAGCCCATAAAGAGTAAGAGTTTCAATTTTAAATTTTTCCCATAAAAAATGTTGGATACCCTTAATCCTTAAGACCTAATTATGTTGTTCTAATAAATTTAAGTTATAGTATTTTTAGTATTCTGTAAGATTACTCAAGTACTCTCACCTCTTTTCCACTAATGATTCAGCGTTTCTGTTCCAAATGCTGAGAGAGACTTGACCAGAGAGATCAAATGATATTCCTCCTTGAAGGCTCAACTCTGCTATGAATCCTGCCTGTAGCGGAACATACTGGAGGTGGTCTTGCAAGAGGGCCAGAGCCTGTGAAAAATCATAACAAGGTTAAAAGTATTTTATTGGCGTTTGTTATTGCCTTTGATTGATATAAAAAAAGGACAGACCAGCACTGGAGGTAGGTAAATCGAACAGTGGTTCAGGGGCATTCAATTTCAGGGATGAAAAGATTTAGGGCAGAAAATTTTCAAATAAAAATATATTATTGATTCAAATACAACAAACAAAAATTATGAACAGGGCTGAATTATAGGAGAAAACTAAGGCAAAATAAACAATAGAAACAATACAATACCTTGCAGCAAACCTGGTGACTAAGCAAATTTCCATTTGCCTGAATTGATTTTCAATTAAATACAGGGTGCGGCAAAAAACCGATATATTTTCTGCAGAGCACTGTTCAGTGACAGGTCGTCTGAGAGTGGTGGGAGTAGGCTTGTTGGAAAACTTACACAATGCCACTTTTTGTAGTCATAGAGTAGTGGTCGCCTGAGTTACGTGCGGTCATTGGAGTTGTTTTTAAAAAGTATTTAAATCATTCATTGCAAATCAGCGGCATTGTCAGTTTCATGCATTCTTTCAATTCAGGCGACTTGGAGAAGTTCCGTTGCGTATCACAATAATGTGGTGGGTTACTAACTTTAGAACAACGGCTTCTGCGTTGAAAAGGAAGCTTGAAAGACTGTCCAAAGTCAGATCGGACGCCAGACAACTAACATTCGATAGAGTTCGTGCTGCTGTGGAAAACAGTCCTCGCAGGCCCGCCTGAAAACAAGCGGCTGCCTTGAACATGTTTGACCGGTCAGTTACACAAATTTTGAGGTAAATTTTCATCCCTACAGATTAATTAGAATAATAATCTGTTTAATTGTGTTATCCATACAGATAATCACGACGGAACCTCTCCATGTCGACCTAATAGAATAAAAGCACGAACTGCCACTGAGCTGCAATGACTAATTTACTACTTTTAAAAAACGACTGGATAACAACCGCACGTAGCTCATACAACCACTGCTCTATGACTACAATAAATGGCATTATATAGGCTATCCAACGAGCCTACACCCACCACCCTCAGACGGCCTGTCGCCGAACAGTGCGCTGAAGAAAATAGATCCGGTTTTTTTGCCGCACCCTGTATATACAAATAACATTAGGGTTAAGGAGTACCTCTAGGTTTGCTGCTAAAGGGAGGCCAATAAAGTGTGTTTTTTAGTAAAATATTAATAGTGTAGTATGTACAATGTATCTGTAGGTTCTGAATAAAGATTCTATTGATTGATTGATTTATTACTCCTTCAAACCAAATTTTATCAAAATCGGATAAAAATTACTAAAGTTATCGTTCACGGACACATCATAACATCAATATTATAAAATTTTCAACGGATGGTGTTTTTGGACTCTGGGGACATCAAAATGAAAAAAATAAATCTATCCCGGGCCTAGGTCTAACCATGCCACCTACAAAAATAGCTACATAGGGAAATTCACTTAAAGGTAATAACTATTTGGTGTAAGAAGATTTAGCAATACCCCTATCTCCTATAGAGGTTAACAGAAATTCTTGTGTTACAAGAAATACAAAAGTACAGATAAGTAAATGCTATGTTACGATAAACACCTTAATTGGAATGAACACGTAAACAAGATCTTGAAAAATTAAACTCTGGAATTCATGCGCTTTCAAAAATGTCTTTTTATTGTAATTTAACAACATTGAAAAATATTTATTTTGCTTACATACATTCTCATATTTCTTTTGGTATTTGTTTATTTGGAGCAAAAAAAAAGCAAATTTGGATGGTATGTTAAGACTCCAAAAGAGGTCTATAAGAGTAATGCTGAAATTGAATCAAGATGATTCGGCCAGAGAACATTTTAAACAGTTAAAAATACTGACGGTTTATGGCCAATATGTTCTTGACGCCATTTTGTGTGCAAAGAACAAAATTCCTAATGATGTCCCTAACGAACCCACACATCATTATAACACAAGAAAAAAGAACTCTATAAGGCAAAATCAGCACAGACTGAAGCTCTATGAAAAAAAACCAACATATGTTGGTGAACAGTTTTTAAAATTAATCCCAGAAAATATTAATAAAGAAAAAAATCCAATTAAATTTAAAAGACAACTGAAAGCTTATTTAATTAACGAGGTAATTTACTCGCTGGATGAATTTCTAAACCTCCCTCTTAAATAAATAAACTATATATGAATGTATCAACAAAGCTTCCTTAGTTGAATTGTAGGAAATAATGTTTAATTTATGCATTGATAATTTTAAGAAACCTTTGATTATACTTTTTCATACCTGTATTTTGACACTATTTATGTATGTTATGCTACATACAAATAAAGATTATTTGAATTTGAATTTGAATTATGTAGGTACATTGATTGGTTTACCTGGAATGCTGCTGTTTTCTCAGAAGCAGTCCCGGACCAAACGTGACCCATTAATTCTCCCTGTCCATTGAAAAACACAAACGGCCGAACCTGAATAAAGGACACATATTTAATTTACTTGTACACAATTTAAAAGGAGAAAGTTGAAATAAAATGTGTCTTTTATTACAAACACATCTTCAAGCAGTGTTGGATCTAGAACAGACACAAGGGGGGGGGGCGACCAGGGGGGTCTGGGGTACCCCCCCCTAAAAATTTGTGTATACTAAGTCTCCAAAATGGCAGTTTTATACCATTTCTTTGTCCAAAGTTAGGGTGACAAATTATTTTACGCAATGTGTATGCACTACTGTATTACATACAGTCAAAAAAATATATTATGTATACCCGAGGGAGGGGCGGTCGTCCCCTCTGCCCCCCCTCTGGATCCGCCACTGTCTTCAAGCTTATCTCATAGAGTAATTTTGTTTTACAAACAGATAAAATGTTGACATAACCTATTTTAAATTGTTTGCAAAACATGAACTTATTTTTTAACTTACTGTAAAAAGTATAAAACTATATAAGAACATATAACCAATATTGCAATGATTATATAACCATAAACAACTTTAAAGATTAAGAACTACTCAGAAGGTGAATGTACATAAAATATTTTTGAAGATGATTTTCTACACTATGTTCATATTATAAAGTTTACTAATTCAAAAATATCTCGGTTCAATGAAAATATGTTTGCAGTTCAATCAGATGTGTTGAGTGAATGTTAAGAAAGTATTACTTAGGAGCCAGAGGTGCCCATCCCACAAAGGTCAGGGGCATAACAATCCTATCAGGGCCCAGGGAGGTCCGCTATTGCAGCAAAAGTTGCAATATCTCCCGCAATTGAGGCAAACTTGTCTTCAGGGCCGGACTTAGGACTTCAGGGGCCCCGGGCAAATTTTCCAATGGGGCCCTAGGATTTCAGTGTGGGGGGCCTCCGGGGGGATTGGGGGGTCCGGGAAAAATGTCTAAATTTAGTCTTCAAATAGAGCAATTTAAGGCCAAATAAGCAATAAGTTCTATGTCAAAAATCGTTCTTAAAATATAACTATTATAACATATTTTTATATACAGCATCTTTTAATTTTATACACAAAAAATAAAAATGTTTGAAACCTAATCTTGCATTCACTATTCAAACAAACTCTGACCAAATGTTTCAATTGCTTTGTACCATATTTATTCTATGGTAGTACCAGTGACGGCATATTTGGTATGGTAGCATGGTAGGCTACCAATATATATTTGGATTAGAAGCATTGATATATTTTTGTTTATTACGTATTTAAATTATCGATTATTGCCGTCGATTTGTATGATTTTTCAATATTACTACAATATAGGTGTGATTATTTTATTTTCATAATGCTTTTGGTACCTATGGCATTCTTGTTTTTATAATATGTTAAAGTCCTAGCATGAAAATTACCATTGAGGACTTTCAAGTTTAAGTTTTTTATTGACGAGAAAAATCTTGCAATGTCTAATAAACACTCACAAGCTAACTATTTATATGAGTAACTGAAAGATGTTTAAATAGTTCCAATATCGATTAATACAACACAAACATAGCATTGAATACAACATTACTCACTTCAGCTTTGTTTTTGTACTGTTAGTTTGCAGAATTACAATAAAATAACTCAAAAAGTAAGACAATTTCAACCATCTTGACGTGACCACTAGTCTCAAAGGACAAACTATGGGAGTAAAGGGATTTAAATTGTTTTGGATAGGCGATAAGGCATTTTATGTGTGTGTATGTGAGTGCGTGAGGCAGACAGGACTAGACAGGATCCCTTATCAGCTCATTATCATTGATTGTTGCAGCTGCTTCTGCTTATCGCTTGTTTACGATCGACAACACTCGCCCACTCCCAATAAATGTAATTTTTTGTTAACATCAGACGACTCTAGTTGTTTTAAAGTGTCTATATAGATTTTAAAAATCTTACTGGCGCTGTATGATTTTGACTCCAAATTGGAGATCAACATTTTGACGCCTAACTTAATTAATTACTATTTTACAAAACCTTTACATTGAACGGATAATATACTTCTACCCCTTAAAATCCTGATTGGTATATACTTAGAGGTAAAAGAAAAGAATAACATTTAATAAAACATAAAAGGAGCAATGTGTTTATTTTTTAAAGTATTGAATCTCCATTTAACACAACACAATTTTACAAGTTACGTTATATGTTGGGACAAGAGTTTTCATATTTATTGTATTTTTGCCCCAAGCGCGGGGCTCTCTTCAACTCATTCGCCGCGGCCGTACGTTCGGGTGAGCGGCTTCATTGAAACTGAAACTTGCCCATCACAGTCTAGCACATATGCTCGTGTAAACCAGGCCTAAGTGTGGGGCCCAGTGCAACTCTGAGGAAAAGTCCCTTAGGGTCAAGAATTTCGTTCCTAGTAATGCCTTAAAATGTACCTAACAATAACCATGTAGAATAACGAAAATAAAAATAAAGCTGTTACAAAAGAAGGCCATTTGGTAGGCCTAAGTGTCTGATAAATTTTCGAAGTTATTAATAAAAACTACTGTGCAAGGGGGCCCCTATCGGGGCCCCCCTTGGCCCGGTGGCCCCGGGCGTTCGCCCCCTCCGCCCATAGGTAAGTCCGGCCCTGCTTGTCTTCCCCTCCCACAACTGCGAAGCCATCATCACTGCCTCCCGGGATAGTGGCCATATCAACAATACCCTGCAGTTTCGAAGACATTTCGATTACATCTTGTGATCACGTCAATATTTTTACATCCCCCTCATGTCGTGAAGACATCATCGCCTCCATCGATCGCGGCGATATCTTAACATTCTCCCTCCATCGTACGCACATCACAATCGTCTCCCGTGGTTGCGTTGCGGCTATATCTTAAAACCCCCTGTGTTCAGGAAGATAATGTGCTGAGATGAAAAAATTTCTATAATTATGGTTTGCAAGACCAAAAAACTATTTGAGAGGATACCTACAACTATCTTAATAAATAATCAATGGCAATACCTTGTGTAAAAAACCTTCCCCCCAAAATCCCAGTGGCACAAGTGAGTCATTGTCCCCCCTTTGACACCCCTTAGTAGCCATTTATCTGGCTTAAGATGATTTGTATCTAGTATATATCCCCGCGGTTTGCGTGTGATGCGCTATAGGCCCGAGAGATAATTTCACCCCTCTCTACCTACATTATGGTGTAACTTTTCTCTTCCTTACGCCCCCAACAAACCTAAAACCTCTAGCGCCCCGGGCCCTGGCCCACCAGGCCCATTTATGAAAGCTGCCCTGAGTATATAAAACGTTACTTTTATCAATTTGTCAAAACTGAGTTTGTATTCTATTGATTTACATTATGTACAAAAAGAGGTCCAAGAGTTTCAAAAGAATTTGTTGATTTATTGTTTTATTCACTTCCAGTTTTAACCATTGAATTGCTCTTGAAAGGTTTTCATCTGAAGAATAACAGTGTTGAGAGTTATGTTTAGTTAGTAACTATACCTGAACACCAAGTACAGTTAGATCCATGCCAGCCACAGCTGTTTCCTCCTCCCCCTCCGTCTCCTCAGCTGGAGCATCGTCCGATGTCAGGAAGGAGCTCAAGCCTCCAGCAAACAGTCCTAACTGAAAGTTGTGACAATTTTTGTTACATAAGTTGTACATCTGATTTTGACAATTGTTATATTAAGTTGTTTTGGACTTCGTAATGAATTATGGAAGGAAATTAGTGTCCGAGTTGTAGATAGTCTTAAAACATGAAAATAAATAGTTTCATTTAACATTGTACGAAACACAAACAAAACCCAAATGAGCAAAGATATCACTATTATACTGAACAGTCCCTACTTTAGGCTCCCTTCAGCACTGTCACATAGTCTGCAAAGTTGCGTTGACAATAATTTGGACTACTGATATAGGTAAGGACTGCACTATTATTTGCAATGCTGACTTTAACGTACTATGCAACAGAGGTAATGATAGCATAATCGATGAAATTCTTACAGAGAATATCGTCTGTGATGATCCGTCTCTATCAATGATGACGTCCACGGTGCCTCGCTTGACGATGCCTCCGTACATCTCCTGTACAGTAGACAGAGAGCCGTTAGCACTGGCATGTTTCATGAAGCTACGGGTGAACGCTGTGGAGAGCCCCTTCTGTCCCAGGATGTGGTAGTTTGTCAGGTTGAGTGATTTCAACAACCCCTTCACCATCACAATCAAGTTTCTGTCACTGAAAATGTATTACTAAATGTTATATATTGCAAAAAATATTGCAAAAAAACTGGATAGAAGAAGGTTAATATGCTTGAGTATAGATGGTATGTCGATGGCCAATATCCAGGTGCACTTTTTAAGATGAAGATAACCATAGCCTCCTTAAATACAAGGCCTCAGCGAGACAAAAAAAAAGCTGCAGACCCAGCACTCTGAAACAGCTGATGCACTAATTTGTAAAGGAGCGTTAGGGCAATGTATTATGTTTACAAGTTTGTTATTCATGTTATTACCAAAGCAACGGGACCGAACTTAACTGCCGGGGCGGACGGGATGAGCGCCCGGGGCCCCCAGACCAATTTTTAAAAAACCAATTTTTACCCAATAAAACCCTCATAAACCCTCATTCCTATATTCCGATCGTGCTGGTTCACAAACTCGTTCAAATAAATGTAGGTTTACACGTTTATACCAAATTTCATTAAAATCGGATCATTTTTGCTCGAGTTTTTGTGCTAACGGACACACACACATATATGTATTGAATTTGAACGGATGGTGTTTTTGGCCTCTAGGGACCTCAAAACGAAAAGTATGTCGGTCCCGGGTCCAGGTCTTACCATGAGTACTACGGTAATAGCTTATTCCCTATATGGGAAATTCGCTAAAACGTAAAATTGGTTTAGGATCTACCTTTCTCCAATTTGGTGAAGTCTCTGAAGCAAATAGGTTTTGACCTCATAGGCAGGATCTGGGCTCCGCAAGTATATGAGAAGGTCCGTGAGTAATGCCTCATCTGGACCATTCTCTAAGAGTATATCCAGGGCTAGAGTTCGAGCGCTGCTGTCGTACCGTTTATCCAATTGGAAAAACATAGTTTTTGCCCTCATAAGTACTTCTGGAGTCCAAGAGTCCTTTTGAAAAGAATGTATTGCATTAATTGCAGCAACACTTACTCTGGAAAAGAAACAACAACTTTTACTTTTTAGATTAATGTAGAGACCAAATATTTTATAAAAATTGGTTCTCTGAAATCTGATAATCTTATTGCAATTTGTTTATACACTATATTACTCTGTATACATGTTAAGATTTGTTTATACACTATATTACTCTGTATACATGTTAACATAATTTTAATGAAATGAAATGAAAAAAAGTTGCTCTGACAGTGCTTCTCAATCTAGAGAGAACCTAAGGAAAATTATGTCATTGTCACAGCCTCATCCGACATGAATGCTGGTTGAGCAGGTGATTGTTCTTGATGTAAATCAATTTGATAAATTTACTCATCATAAAGGAATAATGCTCGGACAAAATGTGTTAACAGTTCCAGTTTGAGCGCAATATATAGGCTTTCTTCCATGTTAAGTGCCCTTTTTAAAAAAATAAAAAATTTTTTTATTTTACATTTATTGAGCTAATTTGGTTTTTAAATATAAAACTTGAATAAAATTGTCATTAAAATTACAATCGGTTTTGTACTCACTTCTTGCTGCCAATTGAAGTGTAAGTTAAAAGAGTAGGGACAGACTCTTGATCAGCTAAGTTTTTCAAAGCACGGACATATTTAAGACAACAACCGTCATCCGTAGGGCTGCACTTTTTCAGCTTTTGAACAATCACTTGCAGCACCTCTTTAGATACCTGTAAAATGTCAGCACAAAACTGTTATTAACATGAAAGGCCCTTCACTCAGGTGATCAAGAATTATAAATACAACTTGCAAGGTGTGAGGGTGAAAAATTCCTTCCTCTGAACCATTACAAAATATTCAACGAAACTAATCTACTATTATATTAGAAATTTTCTAGGCATATAAAGAGAGTTTTTGTTAAACTAAATTAGCTTGATAATAATTATTAGCTGTACAATAGTTATTTGTGTAACTAATGGGCGAAGTGGCACTTTGCTGCTCACGAGAGAAATGTTTACGCACAAGCCGTAGGGGAGTGTGGAAAGTTTCTTAAGTGCAGAAAAGGCAATTTACACTCATGTTACGCATATATTTTTCTAACGATTACTATAAAATCATTTAAATAATTAGTCTTTCAAACACTGTACAACACGTTTTTAGGTAAGACAAATCCAAACATTGAAGGAAATGGGAAACGCTGCACCAGCTGATTGTAGTCGTAACATGTTTAAGTGTTTGCCAACTTATTTTCGAGCGTACACGGATTACTTGCATAATAAAAGCACGCTATTTTGTGTTGTTTGGTTGGAATATTGGGAATACTATGTGCGCCAAAGTAAAAATTGTGTGCCAAAGTAAGTTTTTTTGTACTATAAACTGTGCAAGGAAGCCCACTCTGTCAGGTTATTGTAGGAAAAGTTATATACCTTATAACTTGCACTGGCATTGTGTTTTCTAATTTTATTTGTCATTGCTGCTACGCTGAGAACAAGTGTTTCATCCAGTTTTTCATTGTATGGTCCAGATTCCATTAACAATAACAAATCTGAAACAGAATAGGTAGTATTTAAATTTACGATTATCTGAAAAAGTCTATCATCAAACTTTTTTTATATCTTATGTTACTTATTGTAGTCTTAGGTTGAAAAACTTCACACGTTATAAGGGGTTGAAGACCATATACAACAACAGTGAGTTTTTCATCTGTATAGCAAAAACATAACTTTCAGTGCATAAATAGGTGTATATTTTCCCCCCTCATTTCCAATTTTAAATGTGCATACTTTGTAAAAAAGTGAGCTGCTATATCAGATTAATTCAATTTTTAACTAATTTACCTACACATTTGATCCACATTACTAGTAAAAGCTTAAAGATCTTTTGCAATGCTTGAAATTTAGAATTTATAAACGGACCAGACTCTATGTATTGTCAACAATCAACTAACTCTCAGTGTTACCTCTAATAACGCTCTCAGATCATTCCACTGAAAAATGATGTAATGTATTACCTTTGATGACACTGCTAACAGGATGAGATCCAAAAGACAGTGACCAAAGATATCGCTCATTGAGATCCAAAGAGTCTTGAGATCGGAAATCAAGTATTTTACGAGCAGCTTCATGGGCTTCAGCAGTTTGTGCTGCCCCCAAAATATCTAACAGCTGCAGCCTAGCAAACATAAGGTAAATAAAGTAATAAACAAATGCTCTTACCAATTTTCCAATCAAATTTCGGTACATATTAAGAAGCTTAAAAAAGTTCAGTTTTTAGTGTTAAGAATGAGAAAAACCAGGTAAGACCTTTTGATAGATTTCCAAAAGGAAACATTGGCTTCCTTGGTGCATGGTCTGTATGAAAGGTATTTTGTCACAAGACTGAAAAAAGAGAAATATTTATGCGACAGTAAAGTGAATTTAAATTTGCCAAAATACATTATCCATTTACTTTTATTATTTTATACAATATTAAAACTTACAGAATATTTAGCAGAAGCTATCTGGTATACACTAAATAAAATTTAGAAACTTACAGAATGCTTTTGTTCTTGGAATTTTTTAAAGCTTTCACCAAGTCTTCTTTCTTGGAATCTCGAGCTATGTTCAGAAGTTTGATAAATGCAGATGCAGAACGAATTGTTCCAAGGTTTTCAGTTTTTAGTGGGTCTCTGTTTTCTTTCACCAAACTATGAAACTATAAAAAAAAACATTTGTGTTAATAATTTATCAATAAAAATCCATACCATGCTTTTTGGGTTTGGTACAAATGGATGGATTTGGATTATCTGTTTTTTCTGTTCGATGGATGGATGGTCTCAAAGGAAAGAGTAATAAGTCTGAAATAAACACCTCCTGATGAAAAATTTGCACCTTCCAATGAGTTTCACAAGTAGTTTTCAATCAGTATGTATAAATCAGCTACCATCCATGACATGGTTTAACTATATCTTTTGCCAAGTATAAAATTATAACTAACGGTAATTAATTAAACAACTATACTATTCCAAATTTATAGAGAATGTAATTTTATAAAGGAAAAGGGTCTTTAACAACAATAAAATACGTTTTTTTTTTACTCACACGTGGATTGAAACAAGTTCAGAGCATTATAAACTATGAGTTTCGATTGCCATAAAATAATTAAGTTACCGTACCTTGTTTTATAAAAAGTTAAGGGGTTGTCCAGCTCTTTTATACATTTGCATTTGAATCCTGACTGATTAACTTGTAACCATATTCATACAAAAGAGTTAAGAGTGAAAAAAAAAACATTTAACAATCAATATACTAACATAATATATTTTTCATATTATCTTTTTTACTTTGTCCCCTTATACATAGTATATGGATAAAGTATTGTTTTCCTCAAAAATTTCCAGTTTATGTTTAGTGTGGATATATCCGTTTTGGGTCCCTCTGGACCCAAAAAAGTAGTTTTCAAAGTGATGGCTGTGTGTGTGTCTGTATGTGTGGATGTGTACAGAACTACAGACCACAACTGTGATCCAATTTTGATGAAATTTGGTATGTAGGTACTAATCCAAGGTATTTCCAGAAGTTTTTATAATTTTTTTGAACATTTTATTTTTAATGGGGATTTCCTCATAAAATAACAGACAAATTTGATTTTCTCGAAAATGGCCCGAACGATTTTGATAAAAATGTATGTTATAGTCCTTTAAATTCTGGACAAAATGGTACAAATCCCATTTCCGTAAAAATTTTGGTTCGAACGTTATTGTAACTTATGTTACTTTCCCATAAAAAAACCCCATAAAATAACAAAAATTTGATTTTCTGAAAAAACCTTTTTTATCAAAATTAATATGTTATGGTCATTATGATTCTAAAAAATAATGCAACCCTCCATCGCTGCAACAATTAGGTTTCAAAAGTCATTGCAGCTTTTGTAATTTTCAACTATAAAATATCATAGTTACTCCCACTGCTTACCCATGATAAAGGTTGTTGACCAGCTTATGGGTGAAAGTATGTGTCAGAATGTTAATACAGTTTATTATGGTTTCTCTTTCAGGATAAATTCATAGGAAGTGAATAATATGGTGTGATTTGATGGTTTCTTATGGTCCTTTTAGTTAGTAAAGACAGAGAAAATTTGGTTCAAACTAAATGTAACTAAAAATATGAAGAAAGCTTGATTTGAGTTAGTAGTTTCTATCCAAAAATCATGTAATAGCTGAAATGAGGAGCTTGTTTTACAGTGCCAGTTACATTTTTCAGTAAGACTTTTGTTGAGGTAACACAATGTTCTCATTTATCTTACCGAAGGACAAGTTCCATCACTGCATGAAGTGTCTTCTTTAGTCAATGTCAGCTGGTGCTTGGCAAATGACTGCCCACTCGTCTTTTCAACCTGCTTTACAGCACCTTCCAAAGAGCTCTCTTGGATTAACGTAGCTCCAGTAGATCTATCTGAAACAATGGTGATAAATTAATCATTGTTTCAAAGAAGGAAGTTACGGTTGTTTGTGTCGTTTGTATGTTATCACTATATTGAACAGAAACAATACACCACACATTTATTAGCGAATTTCCCTATAGGGAAGTAGCTATTACCGTAGGTGGCACGGTAAGACCTAGACCCGGGACCGATTTACTTTTTCATTTTGATGTCCCCAGAGGCCAAAACCACCATTCGTTCAAATTTTTATATATGTATATATATATATATATATAGACTTATATATATATAGACTTATATATATATATATGTATATATATACACGAGGAACACGTTCGGAGCTCGCGATATATTCAATACACCCAGCGCCCAATAGGACCGCCTGGCCCGGAGCTCCCATTGTAGTCTGCATGCCTATAACGCAACAGTTTATGCGATGATATATTTTGAGCCATATCACACTAGGAGCTCCCAGTGTTGACAACACAAAAATCTAAATATTCCCTGTGTCACAACTATTAATTTTGAATTACATTTTAATTGTTTATTTGCCCTATTTGCTTTGTAATACGGAATTAAATAACTGTTTGTGATAAATACATCTATTAACAGGTTCACTACCAACCGTCACACTGCTATGTATGTATGTATCCTGACACCTGGTAGGGTGTGTGTTAAACAAACTTATGTGACAAAATGCATTTATGTTGAAGTTCTAATGTGTGAGTTAGGGAATGTATCATATACTCTACACAACCGGACCTCCCTCCATAGATGAATATAAGAGATTAGCTGCTTTCCTAAATACGATAACAAAAACTTTTTAATATTGAATTTGTTACTCTCGGTCCGTTTGTGGCACAGTCTATGTTACGTTTGGTATTATTAACCCATTGCATGCCAAATACGGCTACATAAGTCGGCCAATGTCTGACTTCCTGTGCCTTATACGGCTATAGCCGTATGTGAATAATGGTGAACATAAAGCATTACCGCGATATGATATATCGCAAAGTATGTCAGATAGTTGTGTCAAGACCACATCTGCTATAACAACGCATTTACGCAGTGTCTTGGGTTGACCTTGGGTTGGGTGGCGCGCCAGACCACCACTGAGATCAACGGCACTCTGTCGGGGAAATAAATGTGTGCACTCGAGTTTGAGCCTAAATATCTCTTAGATGAATTATCCGATTTTGTTGAAACAAAAATTAAATGTAAGCTTGTTTAAATACATTTTACGTTGTTAAAATTTTAAAAATTTTCCGTTTACCAGAAAAATTTATATAGTTGAAAGATCCTAAAAAGTACCGGTTTTTAAGAAACTCTGCACTAACACTGAAGTTTAAAAATTAATTGTAAACAAACCACTGAGCCAATCTATCTGAAATGTTTATGGCTTGTTGGTAGGTTCATTGTTAACATTTCCATGCATTATAAAATTTTTACTCACAATAGTTTTTATGCTGCTGTTAATGTTTTAAACGTATGCTAACATTGTTAATACGACGCTAAAATTTCGTTCAAAATACCATCGTGTTTGTTGTGACACAAGAAATAACACCAATACGACAGATCATTAATGCGAACAAAGGTGTTTTTTTAACAGATTTATATTTGTGAAGAAAAATTTCTCCCATGACTGGGGTGACCCCCCCCCCCTTCTTCCACACGTGCCTAATACTGTACCAACACAAGCCAATCACCAACCCAAACCACTCACCAACTCAAGCCATCGCTCACCATCTTATAATAATTATAATTATTTAAGCTACACTCCCTCATAAGTTGAACTAGCAATGGATATTCCTAAGAAAACTTTTTGCATTCAAAGTGTTAAATTGAGAGTTTTCTCAATCAAAATAGAACGTCATAAACTGCGACTAATAAATTTTAAACCCCCACCATGTATTTTTGTTGTCAAACAAAGTCGAGTTTACGAAATTTGTATTTCAATCATAGAGCCGATGCCAAAGTGTCTGATTTCAGCAGACACTTCGATCGAAATCAGACTTCTTGATAACCAGCATCATGACTTATTAAATAAAGAGCGGTAGATATATAATAACCATATTAGAAACATTTGTCTCAAATTACTTAGTCAGTAGTTGCAAATTAATTTCTTCAAATTTTAAAAGAAAGAAATCTTACGGTATTCCAAAAGCAAAACTACTTCGTTTTTGTAGATATTTTTTTCATAGAAACAAATTTTAATCCTTATATATAATTCTGTAAGACGAAATTTTTACCAGAAAATTGTGGACGTCTGGTAAGTCACAGAAAAGTGGGAGGGGTCTTAAATTAAAGATCTTGACCCCAGGGACTCGGGGAAAATAGCAGAATTCCCATAAAGTTACCAGAAAACGAGATACAACGTAAAATGTTCTCCATAATAATAGCATTAGAAGCCATTTAAAGCTAATTTTCGTTTACTTCAATACAGCTGATCGTGATATTTATCATCAAGCCAGTACGCAATGTTAACACTTGGATTACTTATTAGCCAGTCAATTATGCAAAGTACTATATAAAACCAGGATAACGTTACCTATAATAATTGAGACTTTTTACTTACGTTGAGATTGTTACTTGAGATTGTGTTGAGATTGTTGTACGTGAGATTGTTACTTACGTTTAGAACGTGGAAATAAATTATTATACCGTGAAACTTTTTAAATTTGTGTACTGTAACATGAAATAACCACATTAACTACACTACAGTGACTAAATTCAATAACGATTCAAGATTAAATGGAGACTTCTGCTTTGTTTTTATTTCAACACATATGTTCTAGATTTATTCTACATTTCATCTATAGGCCTATTTGTTAATCAAAAGTTGAAGACAAAGTTCCAATGGGAGGAAAAACAATATTGTTTGGAGATTTTAAACCGGTACTGTCTGTTGCTCGCAAAACATTTAAGAATCAGCCGATGATTGGGACTAATTTGGTAGAATATGTAACGTCAATCGCACCTTTAAGAGGAATACCACAACATAAACTTACACTAATTGTAGTTTTTTTTGTTGATCAGAAAAAATCTAAGGTTAAGTTTGGTCAATGCGGATGCCTTTACTTTACACTAATGTTGTTAAACCCTAACAAAAGGAGTATAAACTTAGAAATATTAACTGGGTAGGAATGCTAGCGGGTTTGTCCAAGAACTAAGCTTACCTCAATACAACTTTATTTGCTTTTCATATTTGACGAAGACAATTTCCAAAATTCCAATCAGGGAAGTTTTTTTATCACCATTAACCCCAAGACCAAATCTACCTTAATAAACCAGTATTTATTTTATTTCACAAACAATTATATGTTTGCTGACTTTAGCAGAGTTTACCTATATGTAGTGATTCGAATGATTTATTGAAAATAACATCAACAAAGACAAACAAGACAAACAACAAACTGTTTTTTACACAAAAGATGTGGCGTACAAGGATATCTATTCTGACACATAAATAATATATGTCTTACAGTTTGTTTGGATATTAGAATAATTTGTTTTATATTATTGAGCTTTTTAGGGACTTATGTCCCTACAAGCCACTAGTTAGAAATAAATCAATATGTTCCTAATTGGAAATACCGTCAGAACAATATATTTGCACGTGAAGCCCGTCGGGTTCAAAAAAGCGTGAGGCGATCGGTCACCGGCTCTTGCCCTCACGTTTTACACGTTTACCGAGTGGTGCTGTGCTGCTACCTACCGATTACTAAGTTAATTAATGACGTCACATAATTAAGACGTCAATAATTGAAGGTTTGGGATGTGCCAAACTGCTTTCCCCACTAAATTGTTTAGCTCTAAACAGTAGACAGCGCTAAACAGTTTAATGAAACCGTTGTCAAACAATAGTTTAGCTCACAACCTGTTAGCCTAGATGTTAGCCATCATCCAACTGTATTTGTAGAATAGTATTGTCAGATAAGTTGCCAACAAATAGTTATTATTAAATATAGTTGTTTGGCTCAAAAATAAATTTATTTTAGAAACAACGTGGCGTAATCGTAAAAAAATATTATAAAGGGGGTGAATTTGGTAAAATTAATTAACGTTTTCACTTCTTGAGCTCACTTTGAACATTTCATTACAGCTAAGGATGTGGTGTTAATAAGATATCTAAATTAGTGATCTCTGTGAAGAAGATAAAATGTTCAGACTATTTGAAGAATGAATGAAACAATATATTTGTTCAATCGAGAAATAACTAAGTGTTGATAATGCCGGTTAATTAAAGCCTCGTTGTTTTTATTTCTCTCTCTTAAAAATAAAATAAAGAAAGAATTTTTTTGGTGACATTAATTTGTACTACTCTCAATGGCACTGCTGTGGCTGTCCTAGTAAGCTATGGTTATCTCGGTCCCTACTTTTTATTTGTTGAAGTGCACAGTGTGCCACTTAGCCTTAGAAACCTCTGTGTATTATGATTTTGTTGTAGGCCTAATGAAACCTTGTCTAGAAGGAATTTCCATTGCCTGTGTTACCGGGCAGAAGTTTTTTTTGTGAAGCCGTTCTAAGCCACGCGTGTCTGGTTTTGAACAGCACATGTAATTCTAATTGAAGAAATACATGTGTTATTCCGTTTATCTCACGTTGTTGCATAGACAATACTATGGTAATTTAATTTTAAGTACTCCAATTGTATAACTGGGACTACCTGACGCACTCTTTTTTAAGTTGGTCCACGAAATAATGTAGTATATATTCCCTTGCATATTTGCATTTTATTGTATAACTGCCCGCAAGTACCAGAGTAAGTACTTCAAGATCATCTTTAGTACCTTTGATTTATACATGCGTAGTAGTCACAGAGAGCTGGAACCCTTGACAACCGCAATGACAACTGACCGTTTAAAAAACTGCGTCTGGCAGTAACAATAATGCCTTTGAAGGTATCTATATCTTTATCTTTTGAATAGCTATGCAAAGACAACTTGATGGAAAATAGCTTTTTAATCATTTCGAAAGGATTTGGCCTACGCATTGCATAGTATAACGATAG